ACACCCTATCCATCCCCCCTCCAAAAAACTCCTTCCTCCTCCTTGCCTTTTCCACCACAACCCCAAAGTCGTCCATCACGGGATAAACCTTCTCCGCCTTCCCTCCCTTCATAACCCGCTCAATAATCGTCTCATTCAAATAAGCCAGCATCTCCTCGTAGTTGAAAACTTCCGAGATGGGCAACAGAAACGAGCTCAAAAAGCGGTAGGTGTGACATGGTTGGTGGACGTATGATTTTATCATTTGGCAGCGGTTACATTGGCCGGTGGACGACGACGACGACGAAGAAATGCACACCGGGCAGTGAGACGTGAAATTGGTTGTGACCTCTTGACGGAGGGGGTCCATAACAGGGGAGGGTTTACTTGGGCACGGTGGCTCGGGTCGTGAGAGTGAGAGTAACTGTTGTGATGATGGCTGTGTGGGTTGGGTGGAAGCTGTTGGGGTTTGAAACTGATGCTGCTGCTGCTGCTGGGGGCCGGAAGAGGCAAGTGATGTCTCAGAGTAAAGCTGCTGATTCGGAGGGTTGAAATGTCCTCTTATCTTCATTTTGGGCGGGGACATGGATTGGTCTTGAGTTGCTGCTGGAAATGATGACTTCTCTGGCTGTCCGAATGAATATCGCGGTGGCGGGCCTTGAGGGTGGTGGTGGTGGCGATGGGATGCGACGGAGGGGCCTGTTCTGCTTGTCGCGTCGCTTCCCCCGCCTGCTTCGGAGGGTATGGCGTTGAGCCATGAGGGGATTCGGCGTGTGCCGGTTGTGCGGTAGTGGGAGTGCGAGTTGTCGTTGTTGTCGTTTGGGTTTTCCATTTGGATGATGTCGAAAAGTCAGAAGCGGTCGGAGTGAGGTTCACGATGTTCAAGACAACAGCTTGAATAGGGGGTTCCGATCTATGCCGTCACTGACGTGAGATAGTGCCAGCAAAATCCTATGCCGTGTGACGGCCCTAATTGGTAAGAGAACCGGATCTTGGACTGAGAGTGGCAACTTGACTGGGTCCGAAAGCTCTCAACGCAAAAGCCTGCAAAACCGGTTGACAACACCATGGAAATTGTTTAAACCGATGAAAATGGGGCTGGCGACACCTAATATTTACATGATCGCCTGATCGGGTTAGGTTGCCCTGACAACCTGCTGGGCATGACTCTTCAACCAACATGAAAGGGGTATACATATCTCTAAACAGAAAACCCCGCCGTATCCTGACCCTATCCATCCAACCATCCCAGTATCCTAGTCATTCATGTACACGTTATTGTGTGAATCAATCACAACCATTTTTCTCTGTCATCTTCCTATTTCTTCTTGTTTGATGCCGGTGTTCTGTTCCGCAATCTTCCAAGCCATGTCGACTGTGGCTTTTCTTCCTTCGGACTCTCGTGCTCGAGACTGAAACTGCCCGAAAACATGCCGGTCAGTTCGTTTCTCGGGTCATCCGGACCTGGCTGCGCAAAGAAGGTTGCTGGAGCAAATTCTGGCGCGGGCTCATAGTGCCGACTGCTAGTCAACTGCTTCTGGGGCGTCCCAGTGCCCCGGAACTGGATTTCTTGACCTTGCACCGGGCTTGGTCTCAGTCTTGGTTGGTTCGGAGGGTTAAATGCTCTCTGCGCAGGCGTTACTGGAGCCGGCGGGACTTTGTACCAGAACGGACCCTTCTTGGGTTCTACTGGGGCAGCCCCAAACGGCTGAGCCTTGCGTTGGCCCTGAGTGCTGAAAGCGCGATGCGAGGAGACCTGCTGTTGCGGTGGCGCTGGCTCCCACTCCATTTCTGCAGAATAATTGACCTGCCTTTGAGGGGGGTCCTGAAAAAAGGACGGTGAGACAAGATTCATCGAGTCAAGCTCTTGAATGCTGGTAAGAGAGTTGGTAAGCTGCTGGGCTTCCAGGGTATGTGTAAAGCCCATTCGTGGTGCACGCGGCTCATCCCTCGCGCGTCTGATGGGTGACAAATCATAGACAGTAGATGCTGCTGTGCTTGGTCGTTTTGGTTCTGGAGGGGAGCTCTCAATATGCTCCAGCTCATCCAACAGATCTCCCAGAGACTTTATGGTGTCCTTCTTCGCACTGGAGGCTCTGGGTTTGGCTCCGGAAGAGGCAGGCGTCTTCTTCGCGACTGGTCTCCCCCGTAATGAGGACTGGTTTGATTGTTTCGCGGTTGGTTTGATTACAGGCAAAGGCTTGAGGCCGACCGATTGCCATGACATCAAAAATAGCTGCTTGCTGATTAGTATTTGATCTTGGACATGAATAGATGGATGGATAGCACATACTATGGTGGCAGCAGTCGCGCCGATGATTTGCAAATCGGTTTGGAAGGGCAACTTCCGCAAAGCAGCATTTGCAGAGCCTGGAGCAACACGTAGATATATACGCGAGAAGACGGCAATAAACTGAATCAAGTACCAGCGAAATAGCCCAGTAATCTGCCTGCTGTTTCCAGCTATCATATCCAACAACCGTGGATTCCACCACATCCCCAAAACTGTGGCTCCAATGCTCCATTTCAGCAATGTGTCTGACAATGGCAGCCAAGAGGAATATGGGATCTGGTTGGTGTTTGTGGTAGAGAGCAAACTATGCCACACAAGTTGTAACACGAAGCCCGACACCCACAGCAATCTCCCAATGCCGTTCAGTATCTTTATAGGCATCCTCGACTGGATGTAAATCTTGCGCCGAATGTTGGAATTGCGGTCCATCATGCGCCGAAGGGTATCGGTCTTGGCTGTGTAGGCCGCCTGGTCTAGACGCTGCCGGACTTTGGGCTCACACTCGGCACACATCTGGGGATAGATGCGCTCTTGGGTAATGCGAAACTCATCAAACCGGCTCTCTCGCTCCCCGTTGTCTGAATCGTCGGACTCGTCGGAATCGGGAAGATATTGGGCAAGACTGGCACTCAAAAGACGTTGATTGTTTAAGCACGTCTTGCAAAAGACTGAGTTGGCCGGGCTTGCTGGAGGGGACCCAGGGCGTGGGACAGCGTATCGAGGTGCGGGCGTCGAAGTATTAGTTCGTGCCACTGGAGGGTTGACCGGCTCGCCATTCTAGCGTCATGTCAGTATAGAGGGGGACTTTGACAGGAATGATAGAACTCTACCCTATCGCGATAGTTGTCGGCATCACAAGAGAGACATCGGAAGTGTGTTGTACTGCCATCGTTGCGCAGTTTGGTGGTGTGGCCACAGTAAAAGCACGACAGGTACTGCGGTCCAAATAGGCGTCGCGGCGGCATGGTTATTTGATGTTTGGTTGAATCGGCATATCGAGACGCGATTGACCAAAGGAAGCGACAGAAGCAATGTGATCGTGGGGCAGTTCCAAAAGGTGTTTCCAGGAAAGCTAAAGAGGGAGGGAGCTTGCGCGGCGATTCTGCCGGGCGGTCGTGTTTTCCAGCAGCACTCAAATGCGTGGTCGAAAGGGGAATGCATTTCCCCACAACACCGTCATTGTGTCTTGGCACAAGGCACGGACCACGTGTGCCTGAATTCGTTACTTGTAATTGCACATCTTTGTAACTTGACCCACCACATCGAATTGCTGGCCTCTTCACGACTTTGACTTACAACTTCAGCTTCCATTCTTCAAATTCGGTAGCGGGAGGATTCTCTTACTGTACAGCAAGCTGCTAGAATATTGAGTTCAGAAACTCCAAGCCAGCGAGCACAGACTCTCCCAGTTCAACGACGAGACAGAGAAGCCAGATTGGGCTTTTGAGCGTCTCAATTCACACCACAACCAGTTCGTCTCCCACCGCAGGCCTGCTGTAGCTTCTCGACTCATTCGTTCTTGAACAAGTTACTAACTGGCCGCCAGCAAGATCAATTTCACTCAGACATTAGATGAACAACACCTGCCATCTTGCACCATACGCACATTACCCCAGAACAGCCGTCACCCATTTCACCTTTGAGCATTGCTGTATTTGATTCGCAAGTTCAACACAGACTTGGTGTCTGGAGCATCCAACTGCATATTTTCATCCGAAACCGGGTTTGAAAGTCTCCAAGTATATGTCGACAATCTTTCTTCAGCAGCTGGCCAACATCAGCCCGAACCCAACCTCGAAAGGGGCTCAGGGATCAATCTCTTGGCATCAACACCACAGACCGCCCAACATCACCACCACCACCACCACCATCCCCGCCGCTTAGTCGACAACCTCAATTAGTCGCCCCCCATTGATTCTCGCGATAATAGACTCAAGTCACTGCCATAATGGACCCGCATCTTTCTGACCGGGGCGAGAGCCAGGCAGCGACTCATAAACCCGTCGACAGCCTCGCAGACCAGCCAGGCTTTCCCCAGAACAACCGGCAACGAGAAGGGCGAAGCCCAGCAGAGCAAAACTTGGAGCCACCGGCTTCAGATTTCTTTTCGTCATCACCACAATCAGTGCCGCCTTCAGATCTTGTTCCTTCCTCGCCACAAACAGTCCCAACTTCAGATCTCAGTTCTTCCTCTTCACAGACAATCCTGACTTCAGACCTCAGTTCTTCATCAACGCTGCCATCGAAGCCTTTGTCGCCACGAGAACGGCCCTCGCCACAAGTTTCGGCAGCTCAAGAAAAAGCCTCACTGGTGTCACCTGCCAGACCGCAAGAAACAGCTTCGCCGTCGCCATCTCCACCAAAGTCAGCACCTCCAGCGGAAGAACAAGACGAGATCAAAATGCTCGAGTCGATCGATGAGATGGGGGGTGAGGGTGGTTTGCTCGGTGGTAAGTAGAACTATCGTCTTTACATCACATGTCCTCGGACTAGGGACCTTGAAAAAAAAATGAGAGATCATGTTGTTCTACGACTTGACAAAATCAGGGGCCAGGTTACTCTTCGACTTTGAAGATTTCACATCGACCCGTGGGAGAGCCCAGTTCCACTTTCCAAGACGTGATGTCAGGTCCTGAGAAAGCTCTTCTCGGGCTTCATCTCAGAGACACAAAAAAGGCACACATTGTCAACTTCGAATACTCAAGTTCTAGGACGACTCGTCACATTTCTCATGACTTGCAGCTCCTTTGGAGGCGGAGTTCTCACTATTCAAGATCAAACCCCAAATCGTATGAAAACAGACATGAAACAGCTTGCTAACAATTTACCTTTGTGAAAAAAAAATAGTTTTCCTCGCGCTCTTGTGTGCGTTTGTCGCGGCTGCTGCAGCCGTTGTCAAGTTGTCTTGGCCCGCGCTCGCGACTTTAGTCGTGGCCGGTTGCTCGGGTGTGGCTGTAAGTTATTCTTTTTCACTTCTCAGGTTATTGTTGCAGCTTGCCGTTGAGGGATCGGAGTGGCTCAGGCGAGAGGTGGGGATGTCTGGGGGAGCAAAGGGGGACAACAAGTGCTGTCTGCTTTTGGCGGAATGTGATCGAGCAAAGTCGAAGTGTCTCATGTAGTCTCCTTCCAAGAGTCTGTCGATCGGGGATCTTCGTGGGCGCCATTCTCCCGAGCCGTTATATGGGGTTTGGTGCTTGGTCACGTCTGGGAGCGGTTTCTTCTGCCCAGCTCCTTTTTATCTTTTCTACTTCTGAAGTGGTTTTCTATTGCAAGAACTTCTTCGAGTCATTGCATCCCCCTTGTTCTTTACCTCACATTCATGCCGGCGATCAAGACCACTCAAAATGTTTCCTTTCGAGAGCGCTTGATGAATGTCGCTGTCAAGCTCATTCCTACCTACACACAGCATATCATATTCAATTCTGTTTTTTGGCAAACAATGGTTCTGCCTTTCGCTAGCTTACTCTCACTTGTCTTCTTGGATGCATCCTCTATACATACATCTCCTTTTCCTCATTTACACCTCTCTATCATCCGCACCGTGTTCTCAAATTTGTCACACTTCACAATGCACTCATCAGTCAAGTTTTCCTTCCTCTCCTATTGGAAACTTGCGAGGGAAAATCTACCCTCGCGACCAAGCACGCTTCAGTAGCCTTGTCCCACCTCTAGTGAGGACAGCGGACGATCGTCTGTTTTTACGCAGTGGAGTCGTGGATGCCTGCCCTTACCGGCGCCTCCTTGGGGTCGTCGTTCGGCTTCCGCGGAGGTTCACCTCCCCAGAGCCGGCGGCGGCTTGTAAAACTGGAGGGGTGCCCTGTCCCAGACCGTTTGCTAACCGACCTTTCCTCGCCAGTACCGCCATCAAACCCTTGTCTCCTCCCGCCGCCGTGCGCGCGGTGGTCTGTTTCCCGCGCTGGCCCGCGGTGCTGTCCCGGTCGCCTCCTCGCGCGGTGACGGCATCCTCGGGCGTGTGCCCGCCTACTTCCTCTTCGTCTTGGGGTCGGGCGGGCACACGACCGAGATGTTTGAAACCATCAAGAACTCGTTCTTGCCGTCGCCGGCGCAGCACCGGCGCTATGTGATTACGAGCGGAGATGGGGATTCCTTGCGGCGGTTGTTGAGGTTGGAGTCGTTGCTGGACCGGGCTGTTCTCGGTTCTGTGGCCGGTGGTGACAAGGCTCGGGTTGGCACCCGGGATATGTTTACAATTCCGAGGGCGAGGAGGGTTCACCAGCCTTTTTGGACCGCGCCGTTTACGAGTTTGGTTACGGGGGTGGGGGCGGTGAAGGCGTTGAGCACGGTTCCTAGGTCGAGGAAGGGGGAGGGGTATAAGTGGCCGAATGTGATTGTTACCAATGGGCCTGGGACGGGGTTTGTGGTCGCTTTGGTTGCGTACATCCTCAAGCTACTCGCCGTTGTTCCCCAAGACGGCTGCAAAGTGGTTTACGTGGAGAGCTGGGCGCGGATTAACAGCTTGAGCCTGACGGGCAAGATGTTTTACTGGAGCGGCATTGCGGAGGTGTTTGGGGTTCAGCATCGGCAGCTGTGCGACAAGTATGAGGGGGTGGTTTATGTCGGGGAGGTCGGGGCTGCCAAGGGGGCGAGGATGGGGTGAGCTGGGATGGATGTTTGCGTGTTTGGCGGGTTAGCATTGCTTTCATGAATTCAACGATACCCCGTCCTCGTTTGTCCAATACGAACATAACCAGCGATCCTGAACCTGTGTACAAATTTTGTGATCTCTACCCTCCCAAACCACCCATAATTTTGCATGTATACACAGAGAGCCACACCCGAACAGTTTCTCTACTGTCCGTCTCTCCAGCTCCCTTCAGGAAGCTAACAACAACCCACCCACTCACTCACTCACTCTCTACACATCGGCAGCCTCCTCAGCCTCCACCTCGGGTAAATCAATATCATTCGCGTAGGCCGCCTGCCTCTCCATCTCCTGCCCTTCAATCTCCTCCCCAGCCCACTTGAGCCAGTTGTTGTACTCCTTGTCCTCGAGCTCCATGCCGACCTGGTTGACCGTCTTGCCAAAGTAGGCGCCGTAGGCCCTCGCTTCTTCCTGGGCTATCCTGGCCTCTGTCTCCTCGAAGCGGCGGAGCTTGTAGAACTCCTTGCGGGCAACGTCGTAGGCTTGCGCTCGCGTCATTTTGGCGTGTTGCATGAGGTATAGTTGGCGTTGGACGACACTGTTTTCTGTCAGTTATCACTCTTTGGTTTTTTTTTTTTGTTCTTTTTCAAGCAGGGGGTGATGTACCTCTCTCCAGACAACTTCATCCCCGGCTGTCGGAGTCCTTTGCTCCAATCCCGATACCGAGCGTCCTTGCCGTCGATTTCCATGAGGAGCTTGGGCCGGGCGAGTTCCCATGGGTGGTCGGAGTAGAATTGCTTGCGGAGGCGGTCCTCGGGGTGCTCGATCTTGGTTGGGCGGTAGAGGTTTTTCGGGGGGGTCTTACGTGATTTGGGGAGGCGGACGGGCAGGAGGGCGTGCTGGGCTGGGTAGGGTCGTGTCCAGATTTCAGAGGGGGGGATGTTGGCTAGGGCGGCGACCCAGGGGGGGGAAGGGTTGTAGGTTTTTGGGTAGACGGTCGAGGCTAGGGATTCGGTGGCTGTCTGGTGGACGCGCGAGGCGAGGAGGCGGGAGGGGCCGCGGGCCATTTTGATGGAGGACTACTCCCCGGGAGGGAGGAGGATCTGGTGAGAAATTGGGGAGGGGATTGTGGTGATGGTGGTATGTTGCCGTCCCCAGTCGCAATCACAATTCCCACGATATCAAAATATGGGATAACGGCTGGCTTGCCAATCTTCAAGGTTGGTACGAAGTAGTGCCGATTGAATTGCGGGGCATTCCAACTTTTTGATTGGGGAGGGTTGGGGTTTTATGAGAGAAATGCCCCTGGCAGAAATTTTGTCCCCTCCATGACGGCGGGAGCTTGGGCTTTGCGGCAGCGGTCATTGGTTCGTACCTTAGCTTAGTAGCACTGTAGCGCTATAATCCTTGCTAAAGGTGGGGGCAAGCAAAAGCACAGTTGCGATAAGCTTCGATGTCGACTTTTTCTTGTGCTTTATCAACGCCCCCCATCGTTGACGACGACCTTGACCCCCCGGCGCCGTGACTCCGCCCCCCTTCAAACTGCCGGACGAACCAACCACCGACACGGGAGCATCGACACAACGACACACAGGGCATGCGAGGTCGGGCTGACGGCAGGCCACCATGTTGGACGACAGCCCATGAAAGTCTCCAGACGAATTGACGGGTCGATATGCGGCGCGATCCTCTTTTTGCACCGCCCGTCGTCGTCAACGTCGTCGACCTGGCAATGGCAGACCAATATCTTGCCCGCGTGTTATAACCATGGCGGAGGGTCGGGGAGGGGTTTTCTGAATCATCACCACCGCTCGACAGCCCCGCTTCACTATGCCTTGACCCTCCCGACCCTCCGCCGATTCTCGACCATCCGATTCTGGAGCTCCTTCCGGCCGTCGTTGGCTTATTTAGCAAAGAGCAACACCGCGAGAGCTACACCTCCAGCACCGGCCAAAGACGAAACGTCACCTTTGTGCTCCGAGCCAGACCCAGGGTCAGAAACAGTCCACCCTCCACCAGGCCACTCCAAAGAAGAGCTCCTCGCCCTCGTCGACCCCTACGATGGGGAACCCATCGCGCCCCTGAGCGATTATGTCGAGTTGCACGCCGACCCCTACATGCGCGGTTATGCCCAAGCCGACACCCCCAAGATTTCCCTCGCGAAAACCAAAGAACAAGTCGAGTATCCTGCTCCCGACGAGGTTATCCGCCCCCGGAATCAACAAGATGAACAAGTCCTCTTCGAGCTGCGCTTCGCCGTCAGATACCACCTGATCAAGCCCGAAATGGGCGACCTAGACACCGTTTACTCCCTGTACCAGCGCCTCTCCGAACCGAAAATCCTGCATCTCGACGCCAACTTTCGACATCAACTATTGAAAGCCCTCGGTCAACCTCCCAAGCTGAATGCCAGATCCATGATGCGCTACTTTACTGTGATTGGCGATGTCAAAAACAGCGGGATTGCCCTGACGAGAAGTGAGTGGAACAGGGTCATTCACTTTGGCAGCAAATACGTCGGCAGAATCACAGAGGTGGAAAACGAGCAGGCGTTAAAGATGTGGAGGGAGATGGAGATTGACGCCGGGATCAAGGGGAACGATGTCACGTTCAACATTCTGTTCACTGTCGCCTGTAAAGCGGGCAATTTTGTGCTGGCCGAGATGATTTACAAGGAGATGGAGCAGAGGGGGCATGTGTACAATCGGTATCACTACGTCAGCCTGATTTACTACTTCAGTCTCAAGTACGAGACTGGGGGGATGAGGGCGGCGTACCGGGAGATGGTGGAGCGGGGGGAGATTGTCGACACGGTGGTGCTGAACGCCATGATGTCGGGCTTGCTGAGGGCGGGGGAGGAGACGGCGGCGGATAGGATATACGAGAGGATGAAGGCTGCGAATTCCGACTTGGGGGAGGTGCCGGTCAAGGGAGGGGTGATGACGGAGAGGGCGATCACGCAGGCGTTGATGATGATGGGGAAGTTGGGGAGGAGGTTCCCCGAGCAGAGGGAGAGGTTTCAGAGCATGGCGTTGACGACGCCGGACCTGCAGACTTATAGGATCTTGGTGAATTACTATGGGAAGCAGGGGGATTTGGGGAGGGTGGCGAGGTATTTGGATGAGATGAAGTATTTTCAGATTCCGCTGCACGGGGCGATTTTTTTGGGGCTGTTCAAGGGGTTTGCGAGGCACGGGAGGTTGCACAGGAGTGCGTGGTCGGAGAGGCATTTGGAGGAGATTTTCAAGGCGCTGCTGAGGGCTGTGGGGGAGAGGGGGGGGGGGGAGGTGACGGGGGTGCATTTGCAGACTTGGTTGGTGGTTTGGGTTTTGAGGGCGTTTGATGCTTGCTCGGGGAAGAAGAGGGTGATGGAGGTTTATGATGAGTTGAGGGGACGGTGGGGGGAGGAGGTGGATGAGGGGTTTGTGGGGGAGGTGCTGGGGGGGATGGTGAGGAGGGAGTTTGATTTGCATGCGCAGAGGAGGGGGGCGAGGTATGGGATATGAAAGAGATATTTGCAAAATGAGATGGGTTGGGAAAATACAGGAGGGGGCATGTAACATATTTTATGGGCGGCATTTTGTCACATAAGAGAAACAAAATGGGAGGGCTGGGAGGGACACGGCATCGATGGAGATGCTTGTTGTATACTAGATGGACATGTACATACATATGAGGCTGAGCATCTCACGACATGGAAGATGAGAATGGGACCCGATATACAGCGGTATAAGCAGATGTTGAAAGAAAGACATAACCCGCTCACCTTCGTTACCCACCTTTGGCTCACCTACACTCACCCCAACCTCCGGCACCGAGCTGACCATCATCACCATTTTTGCCTGAATACACAAGTTCATGCGGCTCACAGCTGAAGTCTCAGCTCCGGAGCTTTAAACGCCTTGCCTGTCTTTTGCTGCCATTTTTGGAAGACACCACGGACCGTTGATGTGTGCCGGGGTGAGAAAGAGGGGGAAGGGGGCCGTGCGCTTGTTAGAGGTTGTTCCAGTAGCCTTCGATTGGATGGCGATCACACAATGTAAACATATCAGGCGAGAGAGGGACAAGAGGAACTTTATGCGACCGGGTGTCCGATTTCGAGAGAGATTTGGAGTGTTTTCAGCTTTGAGGATGGGCTTTGACTTTGGGAAGTTGAAGTTGCGATGGTTGCGATGCTCTCTTTCCATCCGAATGTCGACATGTTGGCGCTCGATGCCTCATCAACCTCACCTCAACTATCCATGGTAAGTCAACATCGATATCAGTGTTTGAGAATTTAGAACCAAGCCTTTCACTCGCAACGCTAACGCTCTTTTCTATATCCCTCACCCACCTACCTACCTAGCTAGCGACCCTGCCAGACGCCCGTTTCATAGCATCTTTCTTTCCCTCCCCCCCCCTAGCACCCCAATAGCCGCCTCCGTTACCCAACCCCAGCTCGGCACTTCCCTTGTCCTTTACGGGGCGTTTATAAAGTCTATGCGATCAACCAAGCATAACCTATCCCGCATTTACACGGGAGGGAGCTTTCGGCTCTTGTCATCCACTCTGGTCCAGACCGTTTTGTAGAAGGCAGGGTAGTCCTTGTCTTTTCTCATATCTCTTCAAGTTTCTACCTCCTTGATGAAGCTCAAACCTCCGAGTTGAGCGAAGCGTGGGGGGGGACCGGAACCATATGATATCTCCCTTGGTAAGAACTAGAATGTTTTGATAAAGGGAAGGTTTCAGTTGGCTGAGGGGGAGGAGGTGATCACCCATTCATTCATTCATTCGTTCACTCTTTTTACCCGCCCGCCCGCCAGCCAAGATATAGGCTGACCAGGTGATGGGTGATGGTATAGCATGAAATCTCTGGGGTGTTGTTGTATTCTCTCAAAACGAAAACGAAAAATGTCGTGATCCCGTGTCTTATAGCTCCAACTTGCCCAATTTTTTCTTCTCCCCGGCGTGTGATGTTTTAGTCTCCTTTTCACCTTTTTCTGTTGTGGCTGGGACATCAACATTGACCATGACGAGGACATCATCATCATGACATTTTTTTTTTTCGATATAATTTTGTAAGTAACGTAACAGATGACAGGTCATCATGGACCCTTCCCAACCAACACCACCACCGCTAGAGGCGGACCTCTCCCTCGGCCCCGTCCTCCTTTCCTTCTCGCTGGCAACAGCAGCATCCGCCTTCTCAACAACATTTGTGCGATTCTTTTGCCTTCCACGACAACACAGAGCTGGGAATGGTAGATACAAGGCTGACGACTGGGGAAGCCTCATCGCCACGGTACGCCCCCTTCCATGACCTCTTCCCGTTATGTACTGACAGAGGTTGTAGCTAGTAGCCCTCATCTCGACAAGCTTCACCCTCGTCGAGTCCACCACCTCTTCCCCCGTCCGGGCACTTGAATACGACGTTCTGGGCCGGCCGTGGTATCTCATGAGTGTCACCTTCAGCAAGATAGCCATCTGTCTTGTCTACATGAGGGTTCTTTCCGGGAAGGGGAGTCAATGGCGGTTTTTGTTGGGGGGGTTGGTGCTCGTTATGGCCGTGGTGAATTTTGCTTTCGCGTTGACGGTGAACTTGCAGTGTAGACCGCTCGAAAAGATCTGGAGGGGGGGGGAGGTGGAGGGGAGTTGCTGGGACGTCGGTGTGCAGAGGGATTTTGGGTTTTTCCAGGGGGCGTTTGGGGTTTTTACTTGGTTTTTCTTGGGGGGGTTCTCGGTTGTGATTTTTGGCATGGGTTTGGGGGATGGGAACAAGGGGTGGGAGTATTGGGGGGCGTTTGGGGTTTGTTCTGCGTGGGTTTTCATCTTTCGAGTTTGTGAGAAGAGGAGGAGGGTTGCTAACATGTGATGACCCTACTCAGGTCGGGAATCTTCGCCATTGTCGGGACGGCAAGGACGGCACAAACAAGCGGGCTGGGAGTTTACACCCCCGATCACTCCTACGCCAGCCTCATGGCGACCCTGGAGCAAAATCTGGGTCTGGTCGCGGCGAATATATTAACCTTTGGCACGCTGTTTGCCTCACGCCGGAAGGGGTCCAGGCGGAGGACTCCATTCCAGAGCACCTCCTCCGCGGGCACATCAAGGAGCAGAAAGACAGGCAAGTCCTCGTCAAGCAGAGCGGGGAGCATCACTCGAACCATCACCCGTGCCTCCTCCCGCGCCAGCTCCCACAAATCACTCCACAGCAACAGCACAGCAGCCGAAGTGTCAAACGGACACAAAAGACAGGGGCACTCCGCCAGCGTGAGCAGCCTGGGGAGTTTCTTCCGGGCTGATAACAACAACAACAACAACAACAACAACAACCACGACAAGTACGACGATGACAGGCATAGCAGTAGCGATGATGAAGGGACTTACTTTGAGGGCGAGGAGATCGACCTCGAGTCGGGGAACTGGTGGCCGAGGGGGATCATCAAGACTGTGAGTGTGGAGGTCGTGGAGGAGGTCAACGTTGATTACGTGCCGGATCGTGCTGCTGGGGAAGCATCATCATCGTCCGGTAGTGGTGGGGGGGCAACGCGCGGTGAGGGCTCAAGAAGGGGAGCCAGAAACTCGGTGGTTATCGTTCCACCCCCAAAGGCGAGGGTCAAGAGGGGGAGTGTTGCTTTTGAGGATCGGGCAGAGGAAAGCGAGGAGATGGCCGATTGGGAGGTTATGATCAGGGGAGGGCCGGCGAGGTAATCTGTGATGGGTATGAATGCTTCTTATCCCGCAGGGTTGAGCAGGCGTGGGTGAAACTCTTTCTTTAGACAGGCTTGATTATACATGGGACATGGATGCCGTTGGGAGATTGGGCAGGCGATCACGAAGAACAAACATCAGGAGGCAGCGAGGCGTTGGTGGAAAGCCGAGAGAACACGAGGGGCTGGATGGCCGTGTACAAATAAAAATTGCCTCATGTTCGATGGGACGAACTGAACCACGGCCGGATTTTCAACAAAAGTTCAATATTGTCTCAAAAGCAAACGCAATCATGTCCACACATACCATACCATACCATACCATATATACAACCCATCCTGCAGCCCCCCTAAACCTTCGCCTGAGCCTGCTTCATCAACTGCAGCGTCTTCGTCAACGCAAACTCACTCCTCCTCTTACTCCTCACCTTGTCAGCCTGCTCCTCCGTAAACCCCCTCGCCTCCACCGCCGGGTTATACCCAACCCCACTCACCCTCCCCACCTCCTCACTCCCCAACACGCTCGCCTCCTGCCCATCAGGCCTCTTGTAAACAGTCACCACCGCCGCGCCCCCCAACCCCAAATTATGCTGCAGCGCATACTTCGTCCCCTTCACCGCCCGGTTGTTAGCCCACCCCCTCAGATGCCAGACCAGCTCGGCACACTGCGCGATACCCGTCGCCCCGAGCGGGTGCCCCTTCGAGATCAACCCCCCAGATGGATTCACCACAACCTTGGTGTTGGGCCCGTAAGTGATCGCCCCGCTCCTGACAAACTCGTGCGCCTTGCCCGGCTCGGACAACCCAAGGGCGTCAATAAGACACATCTCGTTGGCGGAAAAGCAGTCGTGGAGTTCGCAGACTTGGCAGTCTCTAGCCGTGATGCCTGCTTCCCCCAGGGCGATCTCAGCCGCGCGCTGGGTCATCTCCCGGCCCACAAGATCAATGGAGGACTTGGAGAAGAGCGATGGCGCGTCGGTGGTGAGAGCCTGACCGGCGATGAGAATGGCGCGGTCTTTGAGGTGGGGGTGGGCGTCGAGGAAGGATTGGGAGACCAGGACGGCGGCGGCACCACCGTCAGAGGTAGGGCAGCACTGGAGCTTGGTGAGGGGCTCGTGGACGGCGGGGGACTGCATGATTTGTTCGAGGGTGTAGACGTCCTGGAACTGAGAGTAGGGGTTGTTGACGGAGTGGGCGTGGTTGATGCGGGCGATCTCGGCAAAGTCCTCTTTTCTGGCGCCATACCTGAAGTCGTGCGTCAGTGATGCATGTCACAAAGATGCGACCAAGAGGAAGCTCACTTCTCCATGTACTCCCTCCCAGCATTCCCGAAGATCTGCGGCGCCCCCGGGGCCTTGCTCAACCCCCTGGTCTGCGCCATCATCACATACGTCGTGCCGATGGGGTTCTCCCTGTCGTTCCAGTGAGAGCCCAAGCTTCCGGGCATCATCTTCTCCCAGCCCACCACCAAGGCGCAATCAGACGCTCCAGACGCAATGAGGGTCCGGCCCATGTAGAGACCAGTAGACCCAGTAGAGCAGTTGTTGTTGACGTTGACGATGGGAATCTGCGTCATGCCAAACTGGTAAAAGACACGCTGGCCAGAGGTGGAATCGCCGTAGCAAAAGCAAGCGACGCCATTGTCGACGTCGTCGTAGGTGATGCCGGCGTCGAGGAGGGCTTTGATGCCGGCTTCGTAGCCGAGCTCGGTGTAGTCTACCTTGCCGCGGGGCTTGATGAACTTGGTCATGCCTACGCCGAGGACGTAGACGGGGGCTTTGGATTTGGGTGCCATTGTGATTGTTGTGTGTGAGGGGGGATGTTTGTTGCCAAGGTTGAATGATCAAAATAAGCGGTATCAAGAAAGAAAGAGTGAAGCGAAAGACGGTTTTATATCTGAAGGTGCTCAATGATACCTACACCCCGGTCCAAGAACGCAGGTCCCAATGAAAGGGAGGCAAACGGCTTCCCCACGTTTGCTTCCCCAGCATTTGAAATGCGGGGATTGGGGTGCTGTGCCGAGGCATCGGAAGCTAGCCAGCATGTTGCCACAGCTGAGCACTCGAGAGGGTTCGCGTCTCGGTTATCTCTGATTCGAGAGATCGTGGAGATGAGCGCTTCATTGTAGATCTGTAAGGGTTTACTTCAAGAGACGAATTGGTGACCCTTTTGGTGAGGTGACGATGCCCATCGAGAGAAGGCTGCTGCCATGTGATGCCTGGTCTTGGCGAGATTCGACCATTTGCTGCGACGAGTTCTGATTTTGAGGAAGCTCGGTCTACCGTACCTCCCCCTCTGTGAGGAACTCGCTATCAAGGCCAATATCAAAGATTGAAGTTTGTCTTTCCAGAGACCGGCATTGTTGGACTCGAGGTGTTGAACGGATTTCGGAGACGAGAGTCAGCACACTTGAGCGGGTTCTTGGCACGCTGCCCGCCTCCGTTTGTGGGGAAGCTCCTCATTGCCAAGGCTCAAAATCTGGGGAAGAGGGGCTGGTGCGGCCTCGGGTTGACCTCCCCTGTTCATGATTGCTCATGATAAAGTAGCTACACCCACATGGGTAACCCATCACATCCTCCTCCCTCACTTTGTAAAATGCAAACACTTGGTGTAAGCATAACTCAGCAAGCCCTGTCTCCCCATCTCCCCCCCAAAGCCAGAATCCTTGATCCCGCTGAAATAAGCCGCAAAGTTCGGCCTCTCACTCTGATTGATCCAAACACTCCCCGCCTCCAACCTCCTGGCAACCCTCTCCGCCTCCTTCAAGTCCCTCGAATAAACCGACGCGCCCAACCCAGCATTCGCCAAATTCGCCCTCCTCACCACATCATCCTCATCACTCCACCCCAAAATCGGCAACACCGGCCCGAACTGCTCCTCCTGCACCAGCAAGCTCCCCTCCTCCGGCCGACTGACAATCGTAGGCTCCAACCAAAACCCCTTCCCACTCTCGGCCACATCAACCGTCTTCCCCCCCGTCCTGATGTCAAACCCCCTCCTCTTGCAGTCCTCAATAATCCCCTTGACAATCTCAAACTGCAACTTATTGTCCACCGGCCCAAACACGCTCGGCACCGTCCCATCCTCCTGGACCTGATACTTTTCCTCCACCTCCCTCACCAACCTCTCCAGGAACTCGTCATAAATGCCCTCGTGGACGTAGATCCTCTTACTCGCGACACAAACCTGACCTGCGTTGAAGAAACCCCCAGAAGCGATGCTCGGCACCGCCTTGTCAAGATCTGCATCAGGAAGCACAATACAAGCATCGTTTCCCGCCAGCTCAAGCGTGACCTTTTTCAAAGTCTTTGCGCAAGCAGCCATGACTTTTTTCCCGGTTGACGTCTGTCCTGTGAAGGATATCTTGTGGATCCCCGGGTGGGAGCACATCGCCGCCCCCAGCTCCGCTCCCCCGTTCAGCACCTGCAGCACGCCCGGGGGGAAGATCCCCCTGGCTAGTTCGATGTGCTTGAGGACGGCGTAAGGGGTGAAGGGGGAGGGTTTGACGATGACGCAGTTCCCCGTCACGAGGGAGGAGACAATCTTGATGTTGGAGAGGATGAGGGGGAAGTTCCAGGGGCAGATGGCGCCGACGGTGCCGATGGGGATGTGGGTGGCGATGACTCTGGAGTGGTCGTCCTCGTGCTGGATCTCGTCCGAGAGGCCGTTTTGGGAGTAGTAGAGGGATTGGGCGACGGCGGCTTGGACGTCGATGTTGGCGAGGATGGTCTGGTAAGTCTTGGTAAGCTGTTGCTGCTGCTGCTCAAACTTGACAAGGTGAGCGGGATGATGAGCACATACGGATTTGCCGGTCTCTCTGGCGAGAACAGCTGCGAGCTCGTCTCCGTGCTCCTTGATGTTGTCGGCCAGCTTCACGAGCAAGGCTTGACGCTCGGCGAGGCTGGTTTGTGACCAGGTGAGGAATGCCTTGGAGGCGGCCGCGACGGCATCTTCAAAGTCCGAGGCGGTTGCGATTGGGCAGGGCCAGAGCTCCTCTTCTGTTCGGGGATCGGTCACGGTGTGAGTGTCTTCGCTTCCGCGGAGCTCATCGTTGATGATGTTGTAGAACTGGAGCTGCATATTTTGTTCCTTCTGTTTATTTACCTAGGTATGTGAAATCGTCACAGACAAGAAAGCGAAAAATGTGGGCGATAAGGAGTGATATATAAGACTACCACCTGGCTGAATCCCGCATGAAGCAAAATACCCGGCCGGCACACGTTTCCCCACCGGATCATAAGCCAACGGCATTTTTTCTGACGTTCGTGTAGGGCTCCATCGCCAAGTCCCGACTGGTGGTTGTTAGAGGTTGGATGCGGAGAAAGGAGGGGTTCCGTCAGTCTAGCGCTTGCTATCGTTGTTTCCGGGGACGGCAGATGGGGTGGCTGCCCACTTGTATATTTGCTACTGGATATAAGGGACTTTAACAAAAGGTCAACAGGCCTTTCAAGATACCGAGTCGATAAGCCCCTCGATAATGAAGTGGCCTTGGATATGCATCGTAGGCCTTGTAAAATCATCGAGAGGTCTTTTACTGGCGGGACCTGATCGTGATACGAGACACCAACATTGAGATCTGAGGCGTAGTTAGTGTGGACGTTGCGAGGACGGAAAACAACCTTGACGTTGGATCGGATGGTGGGAGTGCTTGAGAAAGAAATACTTGGGTTTGTCCCATGAGTCTTTGAAAGTGTAACATGAGTGGGTGCTTGAGTGAGGCCTTGAGGATGGAAGGTGAAACAGAGGTGAAGACACAGGGTTAGGGTATGGAACGCGCCGACAGCCACGCAGTCGGAGGCGGCCGACGTCAAGAGTGGGGACGTCCCCTAGCTGTCTGAACCCCACCCGGCCGATAGGCAAACCTCCAAGACGAACGGCTGCCGGGAAGTTGACCGAACGGTTGGCTTCCAAGTTAGGTGGCTCTTGGTGGAAGTGTTTGTTACCAACGGCTGGCAGCTCATAGGCTGTTTGTCTCTTGTATCTGGTAGTACAGAAGCAAAGGTCTGCAGTCTGCCTGCTTCCAGGTTTCTTGAATGCGGGGAGGTGGGATCGGGCACCGGCGATAAGTGGATAAGCAGCCCTGTGGGCAGCGGGGGAGCTCCGAGAGGCACCCCCGCGTTCAACCGATAAGAGCCTTGGTGGAGGAGGGAAGCTTGCCACGCGCCCGGTGCTGGTGACGTCCACTGCATGCAACTGCCATCCCATGGCCATTTGGTTGACAGAAAGGGGATTGGATGCGGTGATATCTCTTTGTAGCATTAATAAATACCAGTAGTAGCACCCATCTCCCCGACCGACCGACCGACCGACCGGTTCTTTGTTCTTTTTGGTTTTTGGTTTTTAATTCTTGGTTCCTTACTACTCTAGCTCTCCCTGTTTTTGACATCTAGGGAAAGCAACCAAGAAAGACTAGACACTTGGGACGAACACCGCTGGTTCCCCCGATTTCAACATGGCACCCTCCGCCATAGCCACCACCCCCACCACAGCTCCTACAGCCTCTCTGTCGACAAAGTATTCTGATACCATTACATTTTACCTGAACGGCACCCGTGTTGTCCTTGACGATGTCGACCCAGAGGCCACCCTTCTTGAATACCTGCGAGGCATCGGCCTAACTGGCACCAAGCTGTATGTCCCCTTCTCCTCCTCCTCCTCCTCCTCCTTCTCCTTCTTCTTCTTCTTCTTTCTCCTTTTGTATCCCCGGCATATCACTAACATCCCCCCAGCGGCTGCTCCGAAGGCGGCTGCGGCGCCTGCACCCTCGTCCTCTCGGGCTTCAACCCAACCACCAAGAAAATCTACCACGCCTCCATCAACGCCTGTCTCGCCCCCCTCGTCGCCATCGACGGCAAACATGTCATCACCGTCGAAGGCATCGGCAACGTCTCCCGCCCACACCCAGCCCAAGAAAGGATAGCAAAGGGCAATGGCTCCCAATGCGGCTTCTGCACCCCGGGGATCGTCATGAGCTTATACTCGATGCTAAGGAACAAGGCCGACAGCAAAGAAGAGCTCACGGAAGAGGAGATTGAGGAGGGATTTGATGGGAACCTGTGCAGATGCACGGGGTACCGGTCTATCCTGAACGCAGCACAGACTTTTGCCACGACAGGGAGGAAGGTAAAAGCAGCGGCAAATGGGGGCTGTGGCAGGGAAGGGGGCTGCTGTATGGAAAATGGCAGTGGGGGTGGGTGTGGGAGAGAGGTGGATGGTGGAGAGGTAACCAAGAGGTTCACACCGCCAGGGTTGATCGAGTACAACCCCGACACGGAACTGATCTTTCCCCCTCAGCTCAAGAAACACGAGCTTAAACCACTCGCGTTTGGAAACAAGCGCAAGAAGTGGTTCAGGCCGGTGACGTTGGAGCAGCTGTTGGAGATCAAGTCTGTGTTTCCGCAGGCGAAGATTATCGGCGGCAGCACGGAGACGCAGATTGAGATCAAGTTCAAGGCGGTGCAGTATCCAGTCAGTGTTTACGTCGCTGATATCCCAGAGCTAAGACAGTACGAGTTTAAGGAGGACTCGCTGGAGGTGGGGGCCAACATTACGCTTACTGACCTGGAGCATCTCGCGCTGGAAGCACGGGAGAAGTACGGGGAGAAGAGAGGGCAGGTCTTCGAGGCGGTGCACAAGCAGCTCAAGTTCTTTGCTGGGAGGCAGATCAGGAATGTTGGCACGCCGGCGGGGAATCTGGTGACGGCGAGTCCGATCTCGGATTTGAATCCTGTTTTGATGGCGGCTGATGCTGTTTTGGTGGCGAAATCGCTGGGCGAGACGACGGAACTTCCGATGAAAGAGTTTTTCCAGGGGTACAGAAAGACAAGCTTGCCGGACGATGCCGTGCTGGTCAGCATCAAGATCCCGGTGACGAGGGAAAAAGGCGAGCTTTTCAGGGCGTACAAGCAGGCGAAGAGGAAGGATGATGACATTGCTATCGTGACGGGTGCGTTGAGGGTGAGGGTGGATGAGGATGGGGTTGTGGAGGAGGCGAGGTTGGTGTACGGCGGTATGGCGCCTATGACGGTGGCAGCGAAGAGGGCCGGCGAGTTTTTGAAGGGCAAGAAGTTTGCCGAGTTGGAGACGTTGGAGGGCACGATGACTGCGTTGAGCCAGGACTTTGATCTGAGCTTTGGGGTTCCCGGTGGTATGGCGAGTTACAGGAAGTCATTGGCGTTGGGCTTCTTTTACAGGTTCTATCATGATGCGATGAAGGAGTTTGCTGAGGGCGAAAGGGATGAGGAGGCAGTAGAGGAGATTGAAAGAGAGATCTCAACTGGCAAAGAGGACGAGGCGGCTGCGGCGGCATATGAGCAGGAGATTGTCGGCAAGTCGAACAACCATGTTGCTGCGCTGAAGCAGGCAACTGGTGAAGCTCAATACACAGACGACATCCCACCAGCGAGAAATGAGCTGTATGGCTGCATGGTCCTCTCGACCAAAGCCCACGCCAAGCTGTTGTCGGTTGACTTTTCGCCCGCGCTCGATGTTCCAGGCGTGGTGGATTACATCGACAAGAACGACATGCCCAGCTCGGCAGCCAACCATTGGGGTGCGCCGCACTTTGAGGAGGTCTTTTTTGCCGAGGATGAGGTGCACACTGCTGGCCAGGTCATTGGTATGGTGCTCGCCACATCTGCTGCTCGCGCTGCCCAGGGTGCTCGCGCTGTCAGGGTCGAGTACGAGGAACTACCTGCCATCTTCACCATGGAGGAGGCCATCGAAAAGGAGAGCTTCTACAATTTCTTCAGAGAGATCAAAAAGGGAGATCCGGAAGGCGCATTCGAGAAGTGTGACTACACCTTCACCGGTGTTGCCAGGATGGGCGGCCAAGAGCATTTCTATCTCGAAACCAACGCCGCGATTGCTGTTCCCAAGCCTGAAGATGGTGAGATGGAGATTTGGTCCAGCACCCAGAACCCCAACGAAGCCCAGGTTTACGCCTCCCAAGTTCTTGGTGTCCAGTCCAACAAGGTCGTCGTCAAAGTCAAGCGCATGGGCGGTGGCTTTGGCGGAAAGGAGTCCAGATCCGTTCCCCTGAGCTCCTACTGCGCTCTCGCTGCTAAAAAGACCCGCAGGCCAGTTCGTGCCATGCTCACCCGCGAGGAGGACATGCTCACCTCGGGCCAGCGCCATCCCTTCCTCGGCCGGTGGAAGGTAGGCGTCAACAAAGATGGCAAGATCCAAGCCCTCGATCTCGACATCTTCAACAATGGTGGTTGGTCTTGGGATCTCAGCGCTGCTGTCTGTGAGCGCGCCATGACGCACTCCGACGGCTGCTACCTCATCCCCAACATCCACGTCCGCGGCCGCATCTGCAAGACCAACACCGTCTCCAACACGGCTTTCCGCGGGTTTGGTGGTCCCCAAGGCATGTTCATCGCCGAACAGTACATGTCTGAAGTCGCTGACCGTCTCGGCATGCCTGCTGAACGGTTCCGCGAGATCAACATGTACAAGCCGTTGGAGGAGACTCACTTTAACCAACCATTGACTGACTGGCACGTTCCTCTGATGTACAAGCAGCTTCAAGAAGAGTGCGACTATGCCGCTCGCCGGGAAGCAATCACCAAATTCAACGACACACACAAGTGGCGCAAGCGCGGGCTGGCTCTCATCCCAACAAAGTTCGGTATCTCCTTCACAGCTCTTTGGTTCAACCAGGCCGGCGCTCTTGTCCACATTTACCACGATGGCTCCGTCCTCGTCGCCCACGGTGGCACGGAGATGGGTCAAGGTCTCCACACCAAGATGACGCAGATTGCCGCCCAGGCACTCAACGTTCCGTTCGACTCGGTCTACATCTCCGAGACGGCCACCAACACCGTCGCCAACGCGTCTGCCACTGCCGCATCGGCATCATCCGACCTGAACGGCTACGCCATCTACAACGCCTGCCAACAACTCAACACCCGCCTCCAGCCCTACCGTGAAAAGCTCGGGCCCAAGGCAACAATGAAGGAACTCGCCCACGCCGCCTACTTTGACAGAGTCAACCTCTCGGCCCAGGGCTTCTACAAGACCCCCGAGATCGGCTACGTCTGGGGCGAGAACAAGGGCAAGATGTTTTTCTACTTTACCCAAGGCGTCACGGCCGCCGAAGTCGAAATCGACACTTTGACTGGCTCCTGGACCTGTCTGAGAGCGGACATCAAAATGGACGTTGGGCAGTCGATCAACCCGGCTATTGACTATGGTCAGATCCAGGGGGCGTTCATCCAGGGTCTGGGGCTCTTTACGATGGAAGAGTCGCTTTGGTTGAGGAACGGACCGATGAAGGGGAGCCTTGCTACTCGCGGTCCGGGGAACTACAAAATTCCTGGCTTCAGGGATATACCGCAAGTTTTTAATGTGAGCTTGCTCAAAGATGTGGAGTGGAAGGATTTGAGGACGATTCAGAGGAGCAGGGGGGTGGGTGAGCCGCCGCTTTTTATGGGGAGTGCGGTCTTCTTTGCTATCAGGGATGCGCTGAAGGCGGCGAGGAGGCAGTATGGTGTGGAGGCGGGGGTGGGGGTGGATGAGAAGGGGGATGGGCTGCTGAGGTTGGAGAGCCCGGCGACGGTGGAGAGGATTAGGTTGGCTTGTTGTGATCCTATTGTTGAGAGGGCCAGGGTGGAGGCGAGGGAGGGGGAGAAGAGTTTTTTTATTGCTATTTGAGGGGGTGGGAAAGGAAAATGAGGGATGGATTTTGGGTCGGGTTGTATTATAGTCTGAGTTATCTTTTATCCGGTTGAAAGATGGAGGAATACGAAGTGGTGCTGGTTGGATCCGGGAATGTGATTTCAAGTGTGCATGCCTAGATAAAGTGATGGGGGTTGTTGAGGTGGTGTTTTGTTCGTGACAGGCGGAGCAGTTTGGCTATGTCCGGTTGATGGAAGAAGTATCTTTCTGGAGGACGGATCTACATTACTTTTGCTAGAGCGAAAGCTCCCATAAAGCCGTGGTGGGAATCAAGGCATGACAGGGGGTTCGCTCTCCTTAACGAAACCAAAGTTGTTAAAAAAGAGCATTCTCAGCAACTGGAAGTTCTCGGTGTGTTTATTGGCCTAGTCATTTTTATCTAGAGTATTTCCTTCTTTTCGCTTTTTCTTATTTTTTTGATTATTTTTTTTGTTTATTTTTTTTGTTTATTTTTTTTTGTTTATTTTTTTTTGTTTATTTTTTTTTGTTAATTTTTTTTGTTTATTTTTTTTTGTTTATTTTTTTTTGTTTATTTTTTTTTGTTTATTTTTTTTTTGTTTATTTTTTTTTTACAGTATGGGCAGAGAGGACCACGAGGAGGAGCTTCGCTGACTTGTTGATCGATACAGGTTGATCAATGTGTCCTTGATACACTATCGGTTTTCTAGAGACTCCCAAGTGCCATGTCTAAAACTAGGGGATATATGTCTTTTTCTTCCCCATGAATGAACGTATTTCCATCGAACTTTAATATATTTTTTTCAAACATTCCCTTGAACTCTTTCCCGCAGCAAGGCTTTCACATGCTGGTGGTGAGATGTCTTGGCGTTGATGGCTGCCACCGAGAGAAGCGTCGCCACAACGAGTTGCTGCCGGCTGTGGATCATCGAGTTGTACCTGATAAGACCCAGAAGACTTTGTTTTTATATCATGAGCGACTGTGGGGTTTGCAATATCCTCGTCGAGGTTTGTCTTACTTTCAGACCAGGCGCCTGGCAAAGGCTGTGTGTGGCTGTGGCTGGTGGGCTCCACCTATTCAGGGGGAGGAATCTGGACCTTCAAAGGTGGTTTTCTCAACAGGTAAGTGGGCCGGCCCTGTGGCTGCCCTTGAGCCACAGCCCGCGGAGGTCGTTTGAATCCGAGATAAGTCGAGGTTGACTTCCGTCACATCTACTCAAAAGCTTGTGGTTGCTGTGGAGATGCGGCTCTTTGTTTACACCTCCTGAAACCACGTTGAGAGATTTTGTTGAGATTGATGATGAGCTCCGGGGCTGTGCTGCATGCACCGAAGCGAGCGTCACCCCTTTCTCGTCATCTTCCACCAAGTATAGGGTCGAGCAAACGGTTACACACCAAAAGCTTTTGATCGACCGGTCTTTTTCTGGATGGTTGGTGTTGCGGCGATTAGGAGGCACACGACGGCCAGGGGGGGGGGGCTTTGTAAGCGTGGTGAGTTGGTTTTCGAGAGGTTTACTTCTGTGGCTCCGAGCGGGAGGGGTTGTAAGAGGGGAGAGGGGATGGGGGATGAGGAGTAGGAGGAGGAGGAGGGACAGCAGGAGTAGGGACAGCATGAAAAGGGACAGGAGAAGAAAGGGGGGCAAAAGGACGAAGAGCAGGAGGAGAAGCACATCTGCCCGATTTTCATGGAAGACCTGTTTGAGCAGAGCTTCGACGGGGTTTTTGAGTTGCCCTGTCGCCATCGGTTCCACCTCTCATGTGTGCGGCCGTGGCTGGGGTTGGATAGTGTGAGCGGGAATGATATGGGACCGCCTCTCCATTTTGCGAGGGATTGTCCTTATTGTTGACAAAAGGTGACGCTGCTTGGGTTCGTGCGGGCTGCGGATGACAAGATTCGGAAGGATAGAGAGGGTCGAGTGGGTTTGGGTATCGAGTGAGGGATGGGAGGGATCGGATCTCTTTTCTTTTGGGATTGTATATAAGTTATCCATGATTGGGATGTGTTTTTAAGAGAGAATACATACCAAATCATGGATAGCTTATCTACAATCCAAAATAAGAGGGATATAAAAAGGTTGGACAGAAGAGAGCAAAACTATGATCGACCCAGCAAAGTTCGGGAACACCATCGATTGTGTACATAGCACCAGGTTAGATCACTCGTTTATACATACACCTCATCGTACACATCTTCATAATCTCATTACAAGCGAGTGGCAGCAGCGGCATCACAAGCTACCTAGCTTTCCAACGCTTCCACCCTCCCCCTCACTCCAAACACCACTACCATTATCTAAGTATTTATCTCATGCAAAAAAACAACAGCAACCAATACCTTCCCCCGTCACCTCAAACTACTTGTTCAACGAATTCAGCCTCCTACACTGCGGCATGGGAAAGTTATTAGCCAACTCCATCTTGTCCTTGTTGTAAGAAAACCACCCCGTCGCCTGGTCCTTCAGCTCCTGCTTCCTCTGCATCTCCTTCTCACACTCGATCCTCAGCTGCTGCACAAACACCACCTCGGCCTGCCTATCCAACCAGTTGAACTTGGCCGGGGTGTAAGACTTGATGTCGGCCTTGTTGAGGTAGTACTTTGTCTTGTAGTTTGGCATCATCCTCTCGACAGTATACGACGCATACGGCTGGTCAAACACCATGCTCGGCGTCGCCGGCGTCGTGATGGTCGTCAACCCGGAGAAAATCGACGAAATGATCGGAAAGATGAATAAGATGATGATGGGTAAAAGTCCCAGTATCGTCCCGAGCATGCTGGCCGGTGGTTCCTCCTGCCCGGGGTTTCTAGGCCTTGCTCTTGGTCTGCCGCCGCCGAATTGGTGGACTCTTATCCCTGGCCCGCCCATGCCGCCGAGGTTGAAGAAGAATTGTCCGCCGTCCATACCTGTTCACTTGTCAGCATCCATTTCTTTTCATCTCCCTCCCAGAAGTACTCACCCCCAAAAGGCCCCCCAAACCCACCACCCATCCCCCCGCCACCACCCCCAAAAAACCTAGCAAACATTTCTTCAGGACTAATCTCCTCCTCCCAACCCCCGAAACCTCCCCCCCTTGGCCGCCCCCCAAACCCACCCATCCCTCCTCCCTCCCTCGCCGCTGCCCTGGCCGACTCGAATCTACTATCGGGATCAGTCCCAAACCGATCAAATTTATCCCTCTTTTCCTTATCCCCCAAGACACTGAACGCTCTCGCGACCATCTTGAACGCCTCGTCCGCGTGCTCGTGCCCGTTTTTGTCGGGGTGTGTCAGGAGTGAGAGCTTGCGGTATGCCTTTTTCACCTCGGAGTCGGTGCATGTTTTTTGGATGTCGAGGATCTCGTAAAAGGCGGTGGGGGAGCAGCGGCGGATGCGGAGGACGGCGGCTTTTTGGTCGGGGGTGTAGGTGCGCGATTGGGAGCCTTGGTTGTGGCCGTTGTGGGTGGAGGAGGAGGTGCCGGCTGCTGTGCGGGAGCGGGCGGTGCCGTCGCTGGCGGAGGCGCCGGAGGTTTTGGCTTCGGGCATGGTTGCCCTTGGGACTGCGGTGGTGTTGAAGTGGTGGTGGTGGTGGTGTAGTAAAGGGGGTGATGTTGGAGTTGGATATCTATCGGCTGTCGGAGACGGGGGGAGTCGCAAGACCGGTTGGTGGAATCAGGTTTATCTGTCGCAGCAAGAATTCTCTCTTCTGAGATTGGGAGAGCGATGATAAAAAGCAACAAGAACTGCCTTTGCGAAAAGAGAGGTCGTAAAAAAGTTGGGTTGCGATTGGATCTTGCAGAGTCGAACGCAAGCGAAACACCACTGGTGACAGACAGCGACAGGAGGACACACCGGAAAGCGTGGCTTTTTTGGAGACCGCCGCACACTGACTGCAGCGCCCCCACACTCGCTTTTCTATATCACCCCCACGAACAACGTCCTTCCAGAAGTTGAAATGAAACGCGGAAGCCAAAAAAATAAGATGATAGATTTGTTGAATATAGTTCAATTCAGACATCTATTTTCCATTGTGAATCCATCTCACACCTGTGACACTGGTGAGTGAACTCTTTCTCCTGCTGCTGTTCCAGAACCATCTGATTCTCCAGATGCCAGGGACAACAACCCGTTGGCCCGTGCGTGACGTTTTTTTCCCCGGGGGCGCTGTATCGGTTGCTTAGTCATCTCACTTGCCCTGTCGCAGCGGCAGAACCAACCAAACGACGTCACTGGTTTGTGGGGGAAAAGTTCATTATGGATTTGTGTGAGTGAGTGACTGAAGAGTGAAGCGAGTGAAGTGAGCGACAACATGTGGAGATGAGACGACGAGATATTGGAGACTTACGACCGCACTGAAGCTCTCTATTCAATCGAATACTCAGATACCCGTCTTGGAACCGTCGACCAAATACCAGTGCTCAGAATGGCTTCAACAAACCAAGACAAAGTCACCTTCCGTGACACCATCCGCGCCTGGGGCAGTAAGTCAACTCCTAAACACCACTCTCACACATCCCCTATCTGCCCCACCCTCCTCCCCTTCTCTTTCTTCCCCCTCCTCATTCACCATCTTGATACTAATGCACACCCAGCATCCTCCATCCCCCCAATGACCCTCTCCTCCCTAGCCCTAGCCCTCCACCTCCGCCCTTTCCAACCCCTCCCCTTCCTCTTCTCCCCCCTCCTCGCCTTCTCCTCCTACCTCACCCTCGCCGGCTTCAAAGTCGACGGCGCCGGCACAAACGCAGCCTGGTCAGGCATCTACGTCCTCCTCGCCTCCCGCCGCTCACCCCCGGGCGGCGTCCGCCAAAAGTTCATGTCCCTCCGCGGCGGCGTCCGCGGACTCGCAATGGGAATCGGCGCCATCAACACCGTCTGCGGAGCCTACGTCTACGCTACCGGCGACCGCAAGGCAGAAGAAGAAGAGAGGAGGGAAGTAAACAGGTGGGGGGTGTATAATGATTAAAACTTGCTACTGAAAACTGGAGATAAAAAGACTGAAAAGGGGGAGATGGCAATAGGATTTCGACGATATGGCATGCGAGTTCAAGGATGGAATGACACAAGGCTGGTTGTTTGTCTTCTCAAAATTTGCATAGTTTCTATCGACGCTTCTCCCACCAGTTGCCCAGCAAAAGAAGCACGGCAGCCACACCTAGCCAAAAAGCTCAGCATGGACATACCCGGGGGCGAGTAATATCACCCCCATGTCTCTTGTCTTGTACATATAAAATATACTATACAACTAGTGTAGCATAGTCCCCCTCAATAAACGGGTTCTCACTCAAACAAAGACCCAAAAAAATGTACCTAGAGAGACAAAAGAAAACAAAAAGGAGGCTACTAGGGAATTAAAAAGATGCTAGCCGCCAATAAAAAAATAACTAAAAAAAAACGCCAGGGAGACCACTTCAGCACTTGATCAGTCTCCGCTCCCTTGTCCCAACGAGTCTTGAGGGGTTTCTATGCCACTATGCCATCCGTCCCAAAAATACCGATGCAGTATACCAAAGGTAAGGGGGTTGTGAATGCAATAATATCAGACAGCCTCGCCCATGGTGACTCGTCCCACGATCCCTGCCGATTTTTCCTCTTGTCCCAATCTACCCAAAGCTGTGTCATTGCACTACTCTTCCAACACTTTGCCTCGCTGAGGCGCCGCTGATATTAGCTTGGTGCCTGAAAATAGCCAGATGACGGTCATGATGAGGGCGAAGAAGGTGGCTCGGAGGAAGTTTCGGGTTCGAAATGGCAAGGTCACCTCTCGAAAAAGATTCGAAATGTCGGCCGGCTCAAAGCCGGTGATGTAATTTACGTCACAGTCTCGGACCTTCGGCTCAGCGTACCTCTTGTACTCGCTAAGCACGTTGCCAAGCTCCCAGCCAGAGAGTTTGCGCACCACACCAATGACACACCCAGTGCGATGCTGTCATACTGTCAGAGAACTGCTTCGCAATAATGCCAAATCCGGACTGAAATCATACCTTGCCGTGATTGCAGTGAATCAGCAATGGGTGATTCCTGCGGTCCAGAACCAGCCGGAGAATTGACCTCATGGTGGCAATCGGGATGGCCTGCTTCTTGGTGCCCTTCATGTCAAAGACGCAGTGGTTGATGCCATTCCTCTCAATGAACTTGTCATAGCCTTGTGGGAACTCTTTTTGTACAAGGGTGCTGCGTTTCATGTTAGTAACAGCTTCCTTGCAAAATGGAAGAGCAGAGTGGGTGGTGCCTACACAATTGTCTTCAACTTCAAGCCCTCGATAAAGCCGTAGTCCTCCGACTGTGGGAAACTGCTTCTGTAGACGCCTGGAACAACGACACCAAAATTGGAGGGCCGGCCCTCGGTTGGAAGTATCCTGTCCAGCTCAAGAGCTGATATTGAGCCAGACACGAGGTCGTCATTTGGCGGGTGAAAGGCATCGCGGGGTCCGGTGGTGGATGTGCGGTGTTTCTGACTTGAGAGCTGAAGCTGTTCCACATCTCTCTCCGGGTCGGCGGCATGGACTGATGGCGATGACTCGAGGCTAGATTGACTGCTGTAGGTGGTAGATGTCGACGCCGTGCTTCTTCTCTCGTCCCCGTTGGCCTGATATTCCAGTGTTTGTTTCTCCATTTCGTCTTCTTCGATGTATGGCCGAGCACTCCTCTTGGACATGACAACTTTCCCTCCTTCAGACATGGCGAAGAGACCGAGAGTCGTTTTTATGGCAGTGCCAGCACCCATGACAGGAGGTAATAGGTAGAATGGGTGAAGCCAAGGTTGGGTAGTCGTTATGGGGCAGATTGGGAAATGTCGGATCCGATCAGACCAGGAAGTGGGCGGTGGAGCAGTGGATGGCGGTCGCCGGGGTGTGGTCTCACGGGACGGTCGGAGGAAGCCGTGAACAATGCAGGCGAGAGGTGGATCGTCGGCCAAGGTGGTCGGGTCGGTCAAGAAGGCCGGGACTCTTTTTGCTTTTTGAGTTTTTAGGAGGACGAAGTGGAAGTGATGCCGGGAGTCGGGGACCGGGAGTCGCGAGTTAGAGCGGGATGGTTGGGTAATAAGAGTGGGTGGCTCGGTGGGCAGGATCAGAAAGAGATCCTAGGCACCTCTGAGTGGAGGGCGTTGCTGGTGATTACGGTTTCCCCATCTTGACAGAGAGAATTGAGAAGGTTCTTTGGGATTAAAAGAAAGGAGAATGGAAAAGGGGGGCTGCCTTGCCTGTCGCAAAGCAAAAAGCAGGGCGAGAGGGTGCTGTGCTGTGCTCTGGCAGCTCGAAGCGATTTGGTTTGTGGGCTGTCGAAGGTAAAACAGTGAAAGAAAGTCAAACGTGTGAGGGTGCGGGTATGGGGATGGGGTCCTGGTTGTGGTTGATGAGTGGGCGCTCCACCAAAGACGGTGGGGTGGTGGTGGCTGCACAGTGTCAATGAACGGGCATGCCACTGCGCGAAGCGTCCAGCTGTCCAGCCGCGGGACGACGGGAGCTCAAACTGGGTTAGGGTCACGGAGAAAGACAAAGTCCGTCTTTTTCTTGATCTGGAATTCTCTCCCCCTCTCCTCTCTCTTCGCTCTTCTCTCCTCCCTCTGCTACTCTCTCTGACGAAAAAGTCGCCGTTTCCTCGCCACCAACAGCCAAAAAGAGCTGGAAGAGTCCCTGCAGTGAAAGCCTCGTCGAGGCACTCTAAATCCCTGTCCGTTACACCGAGTCTGTACCTGTACGGAGCTACGTCGGGGTTAAACGTTGAGAACAGAGGTAACAAACTCGAGTTCCTACCTTTGCACAATGACATCTTTCCCCTCCCACAGCGCCGTCAGCGTACGCCATGCAATTCCCCCAGGTCGTACCCCTTCCCTTTCTTTGAGATTGGTGATATTTCCCGTGATTACACATCACAGAATACAACCCCAGGCCGCGGGCGGGGGATACGGTTAGCAACAATGCTGTCGTAGAACCGTCTCGTTTCCCCCACACGAACTCTAGGTTCTCCGCTTCTTGGCGGCGAGTCGCGTGCATAGCGCACAGCATAGCACAAAAGTCACCATGTTCTTCTTTTCTTTTCATCACTTGGGACTTTTCCATGCGCTTCATGTGGCTGCTCGAAAGCCACGTTGACAAGTGGATGATCAGTTTGTTGACGCCTGATCTAGTAGCGTAGTGTACCCGCCTCATCTGTGACCGAGCGAACGCGCGGAGGAGATGCCAGATCGCTGCACGCTCACACGGCACACTTCTTCCCTCAGAAGCGAGGCGGTCAATCAAAATATCGATCTAGACTCGCTACCCGGATGGATCCGATTTGGGTGAAACATTATCCATCCCCCAAATCGTCGAGTCTTTTCTGTCTATGCAGCCAAGTCTCTCAAGAGATGGGAAAATCCAGTTCATTGGTAGACCTGCCCACAAAGAAACATACGATTTCTACATCATCAATAAGAACACTGCACTGCTCTTAATACCGCAGATATTTCCAATTCCCACCCCCCCCCCCCTTCTCTCCCAAACTCAACCCGTCTCTTCGGGACAAAGGACACTGCGAAGCGAGAAGATGGAATTGGAAAGCTCTCGCGTGTAAGAGCTATGTCGCGGCCTGGATTCCGCGTCGGCCTGGCACAAAATACGTCATAGGCCCCTCCAGCTAATTGTATTTTCTGGGGTCAAGGGTGTGTCCGTGCACTCATCAGAGAGAACCCTGAGAAAACACCCCACGCAAATCAAACTTGTGTTTCACTGTGATTGGTAGAAAGTCAACACAGTTTCTTGACGCTATTTCCACTTCCTGAACAAGAGAACAAAAAATCAAGAGACTGAACTGACGCAGTACACTATATTTTCCACGCTCGCGCGTTTACCAGTTAAAAAAGCGAGGCTTGACGGTGGGATTGTGTTGTGGTGGATGTCAAACTCGGCAATGCAAGCCCCTAATGCACCCCAGTTTGGATGCACATCCCACGCTGGGCCACCCGGGATGTCAACCGCCCGCTTTCGAAACCAACAAAACAGCCAAATCCCACGCCGCAGTTCGCAGCTGGTTTCGCCAAATGAACCAATCTGAGGAAGCTTGGGGGGGGAGACTGCTCTCGTGATCACACCCAAATGAAGCCTGGAATTAATAACACCGAGCAAAATAGGGGATGGTTTCGAACGAAGCCAGTTCTTGCTTCTCACTAACCGCTTTTGGTACCCGCGAACCATTCCTCAAGGCCTGCGCCCTGTTGTGTGCAGTCACGTGTTGCGCACGTGACACCTGGCTGTCACCGATCGCACACTTCTTACCACATCTGAGAACCGATATGGGACAGTTGGAGAGATATTCCCCTGCGGTGAAACAAATAGATGCATCTATGCAAGACTTCTACGAGTTTACAGTCGACCTCGATATCCTGTTCGACCGTAATCCCGGTAAAAAGTCCATTTTCGTCGACCTCATCTCACTCACGATGTTTACCAGATCTCTCATCATCCCTCCATGTTCATTAACCACATAATCACGACTCGGTCAACCCACATGCTCACCACTACCAATCTCACACATCAACCCAACCTCCCCGGCACAAAAGGATGCCCAGCACTCAACCCCCCATCCACCGCCCACGCCTGCCCATTCACATAACTACTCTCATCACTCCCCAAAAACAACGCCACCCTCGCAATCTCATCCGCGTGTCCCCCCCTCTTGAGGGGATTCAGCTGCCCAATCTTCTTCTGCGTCCCCCTCTGCCTCGCCATCTCAAACACAGGCGCCGTCATCCCCGTCTCGATCAGCCCCGGACACAGCGCATTAATCCTCACCCCCGTCCCCGCCAGCTGATAAGAAATCGTCTGCGCCATTGACACCACCGCCGCCTTTGAAGCCGAGTAGCTCGTATCACCAGCATTACTCCTCAACCCCGCCACCGACGCAGTAGCAATAATACTCCCCCCCGGAACCTTTTTACCTGGACTGGTCTTTTGCATCGCCGGGGCGGCGTGCTTGGCTGCCAAAAAGACAGACAGAGAGTTGACGCGCATCGTTTCCATGAAGCCGGATGGGTCGACGTCGGTGAAGAGGGCGTTGGGGCCGATGGTGCCGGCGTTGGCGAAGAAGACGTCTAGCCTGCCGTAGGTGGTCATGGCGTGGCTGATGACTTCAACGACAGAGGGCTCGTGGGCGGCGTCGAATTGGCGGGTGTGGACGTCGACTGAGGGGTAGAGGGTTGTGAGCTCTGCTTTGTGGGCGGCGAGGTTGGAGGGGTCAAAGTCGCAGATGTAGACTGCGCGGGCGCCGTTTTGGGCGAATTGGTGGGCTGAGGCGCGGCCGATGCCGAGGAGGGAGTTGGCGCCTGGGAGGTTTGTTAGCCCTATGTTGATGTGTTTGAGTATAGGTGAAGGGTATGATATATGAACTTACCAGTGATGATGACCACCTTGCCGGCGGCTCGGGGGGTGGTGGATTCAGGGGCTACTTTGATGATGGGGGCGAGGCTGGAGCTGCCGGAGAGGTGGTTGGCCGTGGCCTCGAGGCGGCGTTTGGCTTGGTCTGACATTGTGATGGAAGACTAACTACTACTTGGGACGTGAGGAATTACAGGGTGAACTTCTCATCAATTCAAGAAGATTGAGAGGACCTTTTAATGAGATGGACGGTTGAGCATGTAGGACGGTAATGCTCGGTGTGAAAGGCGGGGATGCGGTTAGGTGGGGCCGAGCCGAGGCCAACGGAGCATCCGACGTCAATGTCTCGGTTGGGAAAACCAATTCCGTCTTCATCTCCATTGCCAAATGGATTTTCGTTGACGACTCCAATTTTTTGTTGATGTTGTTGGCGAGACCATGGGAGTATGGCCATGTTTGGAGGTTATGACATTGGGGCGGTTCACGATGGCATTGCGCAAAATTGAAGACAAAAGACTTTGGTTCACGACTGCATCGAGAGTCCAACTCGCCTCGTAAAAATGGTTATTCAAGTGTCGTCACCCGATGGTGTGTCGGTGAAACACATGCAGCATCGCGCCTTCTTCATGAGCAGTTGTTGGGCAGTGCCTCCTGCTTGCGCCTTCCTTCAAGCATCGATATACTTAGGCAGCAGTCACCAATCAGGCCAGCCCAATTTGAAGTTGCACTTGTCTCAAACCTTATCAATCCGCTCTTTCATCCCATCTCAATTGTTCTTCTCATGCTATCTCTCATCTTTCGTCATGTCCAGATACACAATCGCCGGTGCTTGGCAGGGCCTCAAGGACACGGTGAAGCCCATCTTATCGGAAGCCTACTACGAAGAATATTACGCGAGAGTGCCAGAGGATAAACCCGTGTCTGAGGAAGAACCTATCGCAGTTCGTCTGTCCATTTAGAGTTCATAATCGCTGTCCGTTGTACTGACTGCGATCCAGGATCGCGAAGAGAATGTGGCGGTAACGGAACCTCATCAATACACGCCGTTTGTCAGACTCGACTACCGGCGTCAGGCTTCTTCGTCTGTTGCCAGGATCTCGTCAACAAGATATTGAATGCGAGCTGTATGTCACCGAGTTAGCCGCCCGCGGTTGACCGTTATGAAGCCCTCTCCTACGTGTGGGGCGATGCCTCGCCGACGACCCCTATCCAGGTCAACGGCGACACTCTGCAGATTGGCCTGAACCTTAGAAGCGCCTGTTGAACCTGAGGCTGCTTGGCCGTCCCAGAGTACTTTGGGTTGATGCAATTTGTATTAATCAGCAGGAATACGACGAGAAGCCTGGTCAGATCAACATGATGGGCCGGATATATCGCAGTGCATCACGATGCGCCGTCCGGCTCGGCAAGGCACATGTGTCAAAATCGAAAGATGTTCCCCAGAGAAACACAAAGAAAGCTTTTGCTGTTCTTAAGATGCTCGGAGAGGAGGCGGTCGAGATGAAGAAGTTGGGCAAGAAAGTCGAGCCACACCAAGGCGAGATCTACAAGAAGCTGAGGCTGATATGAATGTGGAGGATGCCGTCTTTGAGAACAAGTGGTGGAAGGGAGTATGAACTGCTCAGGAAATCATTGTCGCCAAACGAGCTCTAATGGTAAATGGGCCGCATCAGATGGAGTGGGATTTTTCCGTGACGCCATTCAGCATGGCTTGGATCTGATCTGACAGCCTGGACCGTCAATGTTCTCGGGGTTGGTATCCCGCATGTTACGGCAGTGTTTGAGGACGTCCAACGGATTCGGGACTTGGCAACAACACCAAGCTCAAACCCTTGCCGATGAGCTTTTCGGGTATTTGATCCATACACGGGCGCGTGACGCTTCCGACCTTCGAGACAAGATATTTGGTGTCTTGGGCTTTTCTGGTGGTCGGTTGAAAGATGCTGGGGTCGCACCGGACTACCGGTCTACTGCCGCCCAGGTATGTCGGGATGCTGCTATTCGAATCATTACTGTTTCTGGGAATTTTGATATCTTGGGTCTCTGCATCCGAGTTGAGACGCCAACGGCACCCAGGGGTCCCTCATGGGTTCCAGACTGGAGCGTACAATTCGCGATCGCTTCCCCTCTGGTATACGACGCACTTGGACAACCTCGGAGTACACATGCTTCGAAGGGGTCACCGCCTGTATCTTGGCGTGCTCAAGGACATGTGATCGACATTGTTGGTCGTCTGGCCCCCATACAGAGCCAATTCGACATTGTCGAAGGTGTGCCTTACACAGTGGAAGAGGCAGGAGAGACTTCGAGATTTAGGGAGTCCATGGTGGAGTTGTTCGGCATTGCTTGGAAGACCTTGGTTGCGAGTATCCCCTTTTTGGCCGTCTATGTTGAGTGGGAGAGCTTTACAAAGGAGCTCCATCCAACGAATCCTGACCCCATCTCAGAAGATGCCATGTCAATATTCTGCCAGACATTGTGCACCGGCACACTTATGCCCGGTGGAAGAGAGGAGACGGAAAGGACCTTTCATGACTGGCTTCCTGCTCTATCAACGATCAGGAGGCTTATGGTCATGAAGGCAGACAAGAAGGCAGATAAACTGTTCAAGACGGCAAGCTTGCTTGGGTATACCAGGAAGAGGCGGCAAAGCTACGGGTACTTCATTCCGTACTTATCGCAAGTGAAGGAGCGGAGGATGGCAGCCACAGTTAAAGGATATCTCTGTCTGCTTCTTTGAAACACAGAACCGAATGATCAAGTTCACATTCTGAGCGGTGGTAGGGTGCCTGTGGTTCTTCGACCACGCAGTGACGGAACGGCTGAATTCATCGGCGAGGCTTATGTGCATGGAATCATGAATGGCGAGGCTTTTAAAACAGAAAGCTGCACCGACGTTAGAATAAGATGAAGCGAAAAGACTGTTGAGTAGACTGGGGTCCCCAACATGTCGATGCCGTCAACGTCGCAATATCACCGTTGAGGCTGGCTCGATCGGAGCTCAAACACGGGAGCACTCGGCACACCTTTGAACGCCATCGACCCAACACGAGGGAATGGCACCTCCACCAGCCATTGGATTCTTTTCAGAAGCACCTTGCTGCCACGAGCCCATCAATCTTCCAGCCCTTCGGGCTGGAAGCCCGCACGCTCATCACCCCCACCACACTTCGGACACGAGGTTCTGTCGAACCGAGTTCTATTGGCTTGGCGGCCGATCGAAGCTGGCTTGTCTTGAAGAAAGTGCGGGTGGCGTCGACACCTTTTTCCAGGTCGCCGACCTGGGCTTTTTCACCATGTGCAGAAAGGGGTGGGAGTGGCTGCTTCTAGTAGGGCTGGAGAAGCGCCCCTTCTTCCGACCCGATCGAAGCAAGACAGGAGTGCTAAGAATAGATGTCTTTCTTTCAAGATGCAGGTCCGGGATCGTATGCATGACTGTCAAAATGCAATGATTCGACCACCGCTTTATGTACGGTTCTAACCCCCTAACCTTTGTGCCTGGTTGGTAGCTAGAAGGCCGCGTCACCAGAGAGGCAGACCACTTGCTCGGAGATGTTAGGACCGGCTTATCAATTCCGGCAGTTGTCTTTTTACTTCTCTATCAGCCGCAGCACTGGGGAGGGGGATTGGTTCGACTTGTTCAGATTGTTCGGGTGGAAGCATGGAATACAACTGTCTCATGCCGCCAACCATCGACTGCAACTCCTGCGGCTGGATTTCGAGAATATTTTCTGGGCTTCTATGGGGGCGAGGGGGTTTTCACCGTACACCTAGGATCTTTTCAGCCTCCTACTCCACGAGAAGGATCAAAAGCGGTGGTGGCTTTTCAGCCGCTGTGATCACAGGATGTGTGTGTGGCTGGGAGGAACCTGGGATGACCTCATGGCTTTGCTCCTCCTCTTCCTCCTCCTCCTCCTCCTCGATGACGCACCATTGTTGACGGGTAGTGAACAACTGATGAGTTTGCCAAAATGACGGTGAAACCCAATATCTTCGAGAGCCCAACTGTGGGGGTGGGGAGGGGGGAAAGCTGTAGTAGCAAACATGACCCAAGGGCCAAAGCATGAGCTTTTCGTTTCTATTTAGCAAACATTTCGAGGGTGCAGGAACCCCTCCCCAGCATATGTACTGCATCAACACACGGCAGGTTTTTTTTTCCTCTGTCTGGTTGCCGTGACCTGACCTGACCTGACCTGACCTGACCTGACTTGACCCTGGGTGCGGGTGGGAAGGTCTCACTGCGGGAAAATCTGTGCGAGGGGGTGTTCATTGGAGGGCAGAGGGAGGAGATGTAATTTTGCTTGTACGTGCATGGAAAGGTTAATAAAAGGTTGGGCAGGTTGGTTGGGTAAATGGGGGGGATTATTACACCGAAGTGCGGTGATGTGCACAACGGATTTTGGTGAGAGGAAGCCCTTTGGGTAGGTGATGAGGAGGAGTTACTTAGGTGGGGAGCGGTTGTGAGACTGTGGGCTGAAATTGGGAGAGGCGGGTTTGTTCGACGTTGGGGGAAGGGGAGGATAACACGAGGTTTGAGGGTTTCGTGAAAGTTCCCCCCAGGCTTTGCTTGCTGGGTTTGAATGGTTGATGAGAGAAAGGTGTGATTTGGTAATGGGTTTGGACAGGATGGTTGGGTCATGGAGATGGGAATGGAGATGAACCTACGACAACGGACGGGAAGGGGAGACGGTAGAACACGCCATTCGCCGTTTCATTTTTCGGCTTTCGCGAATCTGGGATCGACGGTACAGGCTTGAGATTACCAAGATTTTACCTCCGTTGGGTGTGTGTGGGCGGGACGGACGGCAACGGACGGGATGGAGGGGAGAAGAGAATGGGGACAAGGGGTTGTGAGAAGGCTGCAGGAGGGCGAGCGGTACCTGGATTGTTTTATGCAAGCCTACACGGTAATCCACATGGCCTTTTTTTTTTTTTTTGATCGAGGAGAGCTGATGGTGTAGTAGACGGGGTTGCGTGGGGAAAGAAGGAAGCCATTGGGTGAGAGAGAAGAGGCGTGAGTGGCGCACAAGGAAGGGCGGGGGGGGGGACGGGTGGTTGCAGATTCGTCAGTCTTCGACTATGTGAGATTTTTTGTCCTGCATTCCGGTCTTCATACGAGACTATTCTCGTCGGGCGGCGGGATGGTGCAGCGGTTGTGTAACGGTGAGTCCACTTGTCGCCAAGGGGGATTTGGCTTGCGAGTAGTGGGTATCTTGTACCTACCATCACGCAGGTGCGTGTGTGTGTACCTTGCTCTTCTTTGATCCGCGTCTCGAAAACCCCGTCTGTCTAGGGGACCCACTGTCTGGAACCAGCACACACACACACACACGCACAGGAGGTGGTGGTGCCGCCCGTCCTCCCGTTCAGAAATGGGGCACTGGGGGCAGCCGTCTGATCTCTGCTCATCTATCGTACCTCTGGGCAACGCTGTGTTGCCATCGCTCAGCAGTCACGGGCCTGGTACTTGCCCCATTTCGAGAAAACGGGGGACACAAGATGGGGCTCATCATTTTGTGAAGAGGGAGGGGGTGGTGATGGGATATATAGACTGGGAATGCTTTTTTTTCTGTTGCGCCCGTGCCCACCTTTTTCTGACCCCTTTTCCGTTTTCTCTCACTTTTCCAGATTTTTGTTTCGTTTTGATCACTCTGATTCGGACCTGTCACATCGCGACTTTTCATCATCCATCAAACGGACACACGGCTTGCCCACCTTACCTTGCCTTGCTTGGGCATCTTTGCTTTTCGGAGGCAGACAGGTATAACTGAGACTGTTTGCCTCCGACTTGTTCGTTTGTATAGGGCTTATTAGGCTTGAAGCACAGCAGCTCAATCTCTTTCTTTTGGGGACAAGGCTTTTATTTGGGGGGGAAGGCCGCATGGAGTTTTGATCTGGTCAGATCACCGACTACTATTACTACTACACACCGACATAACCTCGAGAAATGGAAGGATCAAGAGTAGGGATCTCGGTGGAAGGGGTCGACCAGCAGCACAACGAGGAAAAGGACGGCAGCTGCGAGTGTCATATCAACAAGGCGGAGATCCAAAAGGGGGCATGGAACGAGGACAGGAGCGAATGCATATCCAACTGCAAGACGCAGTTTCTGCAGTCGATAAGCCCGGGATGGAGCGAAGCGGCGTCGGGATGGGCGGAAGTGTGCGGCAATCTCAACTCGACGAGCAAAGGTGTCGAGGTTGCTGAATACAGGTTTTGGTCCCTTTACTGGTGCGACTCGACGTTTTGCGGGGTAGCGATAGACCAGAGCAGGGGACTGGGGCAAGATCGTGAGTAACAAGAGAGCGGAGGCGAGGTGGTCTGATTTTTTGTCTCGGACGAGAAGGCTAAGATGTGGTACACAGCGAATGTTGATTCGATCATCACCACCTGTGACAAGTGAGGCCTCCTCTTTTTTTATGAGACCAACTTGGAGGTTGCTGACGATGTTTTGCAGTAATGGGTTCAAACCGATTATTGATCCTGGACCACCGCACGAGGACTTCAAATGCAGCACCGAGGGGGATGGAGCGGGTTCGTGTACGGACAGTTCGTTTTCGAGGCTGCAGCTGACGTCGTCGGTGACATGGGAGTCTTCGGCGTTGCTGCCAACGGCAGCATCTGCGACGGCTGTGGGTGTGGGATTGGGTTCTGTGAGCACGGTACAAGGTACGACCTCTGTTTTGCAAGAGTCTGACTTTTCTCGTCCTCCACTGGCAAATACCTTCATGGCACCAGAGAGCCAACAGACGGAGGCTGTTCCCCTTCTGCCCACAACAACCCCGACGACGGCAGAGATATTTACATTCACGGCAGAAACAATATCGACCTCATCGGACCCAACAAAACTACCGCCAATGAACGGACTGGAAACAAGTTTCCCTGTCCCATCATTTCCCGCGAGCACATTTACTGTCTCGTCAATATCCTCCCTGACGACATCGACATTATTGACAACAACTTCGACATCATCCACTTCATCAGCCACACACCCAGCAGCATCAAAAACATCCACTTCTACCTCTGCCCCTGCCGCCTCAGCAACAGCAGCCGAGAACGGCCTTTCCAACCCAGCCAAAATCGCCATCGCAGTCTGCGCCACCATCGCCCTCCTCATGCTCATCTGCGCTCTGTTCCTTTGCCTCCGCAAGCGAAAACGCAGCGGCGAATCATCGCCCCCCCATCGAAGCCTCCGCTCCCGACTAGGCCTCAACAATGGCAAATGGGGGGGCGGCAACAACCCAACACCGCTGATCTCACCGGCAAGCTCCTTGATGGGAACAACAGCCAACAACCAAGGCATCACCCCGCCTCTCCGCCTCCGCCAGAGAAAATTCATCCCTTCTCTTTTACCGTCTATCCTCCGCCCAGGAGGAGGGGCCCGCTCGGGCTCACCCCCTTTGACGCCCCTCACGCCGCAGCACAGCACAGGCGGGGTTTTCCCGTCAAGCCCGATTTGTACCCCCACGACTTCGAAGCTGGTTCCTAGACATGAGAGGACGCCTGGGGGGTACACGGGTGGGTTGCCGCCTATTCCTGCGCCAGTTCCGATGTTTGTGAAGGATTGTGGGAGGGGTAGTGGTAGTGCGGCATCTTCCATGACGGCGGCGACAACGAATAATTTCTCTGGTGGTGGTGGTGTTGGGGGGGGTTTTGAGAAAAGTCCATCATCATCGTCACCTGCGCGTCCGAAACGACCGCATGATGGACCGTTGGAGATTCCGGATTTGTTGGTTGGTGGTGGTGGTGGTGGTGGTGGCGGTGGTAGTAGTACGGGGAGTTTGGTGTCGCCGCCGTTGAGCCCGCCTCCTACTAGGGCTTTGCCGGCGACTCCTCCGGTCGGAACGACAAGAGCGGGGGGGAATGGGAATGGGAACCATTGGTCGGTTGTGTCGTGTTCGTCGAGTAATTACTCTAGTGAGGCGGGTAATGGTGGCAGGGTGAAGGGGATGGGTTTGGGGGGAACGCTGTATCATCACCAGAGGGGGAGTGCGGGGGTTGGGAAGGAGAGGGGGAGTTGGGGGAGTTGGAGTGGGACTACGGCGCAACAGCAAGGGACAGGGACTATTGGGAAGGCGATTGGGAGTGTGAGGGATAAGGATAGGGTTGGGAAGGGGGAGGAGGTTAGTCCGAGGAGTAGTAGTAGTAGTAGTAGTGGGAGTAGTGATACTGTTACTGGGGGGACAGTGAAGGGTCAGACGACTGGGGGTAGGGGTGATGTTAGTAGTTTGGGGGAGGGGGGGCGTATTTAGAGGGCTAATAACTAGGTAGGTGCCTCAGAGGGAGTAAGAAGAAGAGGGTATACCACGTGTGACTTGTGGTGTTTTTTTCTTTTTTTCTTTTTTTCTTTGGTGGGGTTGGTTGGACATCAGGTTTGTTTCTTTTTTTTGTGATACAGAGTATCAGTTTCATGTTTTGACTTTTTGTTCATTTACACTGAGCATTTAGTGATAGGGAAAGGGGGGTAATGATTTGGAGTAGGGGTAGGTATGATACCAGGGTTTTTTGTTGTTGGATACACATACAGAGAGAAAAGACAAAGACAAAAGATGTTTTTTTTTTTTTTTTGGAGATGAAAAGAGAGATGGAAAGAGAGGTTAAGATAAAAGCTGCTGGTTAGCTAGACGGGGTGTTGGGAAGCTGAGGGGAAAGTGTTTGAGAGGAGAGAGGTGGAGTCGGTATAGTAACAGAGATGGAATTACTCGGGGTGGGAGTGCCTGTATGGAAGGGTTGGATATGGCAACAGGGAAAGTTAGATAAAAAGAGGTTTCGCAGTTGTAATCTTCAAGGCTTTGATCATACTATATCTTGTTGCCTCGGCTGGACTTGGTGACGGAAAGCTCCAGCAACAGCTGGCTGAGTTGGCCAGACCACCGGATACTGAGAACAGACTGCTGTGTTTTGTTAAATAGAGGATTGTTGCTGCAGAGATGACGCTGGTTATTGAAAGAAAGTTGACGCCGTTGATGGTACTCGAGCACAGGACACCGTACCAGGGACGAGCTCGCCTTGCCGCTACGGCCCAGAACACTGAATGGGCCGTTTATGTGTTTTTATGTCGTGCTTTCTTCAATGCAAGGGAATCGTCATGACAGCGGTTCACGAGCGTGAGTTGGTGATGTACAAGGTAAAGATTGTCAGGACAAGGCGCGACGGGAGAAAGGATCGACAGCCACTAGTAGTGGTGCGCAATGCAGGTGAAGCTTGTTGTTCGGCAGTTGGGGCTTAGGTAAGGATTTGACTTGATTCGGAATTGCACTATCTTAATAGTGCGAGGGGGAATGGGTCGAGCATTGGGGGGGAATGACAGGATGAAACGGGTACTAAAGAGGATGAGGATCGAGGCTTAGATAGGCAAACAATACTCTAGAATTAGTTGGGATAGTATAGGGGAGGGAGGTGGTCTTGGTTGGGGTTTTTTCTTTGAGGTTTGAGGTTTGATGTTTGGTGTTGCTGGAGGAAAAGCACGGGCCACGTTTATGGATTGCGTGGTGGAAGAGGAGACAAGTTAAAAGATGCCTGTCGCTGCTGCTGCTGCTGCTGCAAGCACTTGACTTGCCGAGCAGCTCTGCCTTGCTGGAGTTACAACTGCCCGCCGCATTCCCAACGCCGCACGCCCGCCGCCCCTATGACAACACCAGTGGTTCATGCGACCTGACTGAGAAGTCCTTTTGCGACAGCAGCAGTGTTTTGTTAATACTTTTACAGACAACCACCGACAAACACCCGCCCTCACAAATTGTTTTCCAACCACCAAGAATCAAAACAATGCCACCCCCCCTCTTCTCCTGCCACTAAGCCTTCGATCCCCATTTAACAACACCACAGCACACCGCACCACCACAATGAACCTCTCCCCCCCTCTCGAGCGCACAATCTCCCAACAATCCCACACCTCCGCCCGCTCCCGCAACACCTCCCGCCGCCCAGCAGCCAAAAAACAACAACCCCCCTCCAGCTCAGCAAGCTCAGTGGTAGGAGGCGAAGACAGCAAATCCCTAACCTCCTTCCCCTCCTTCTCCCCGCGAGAAGAAGAAACATGCTGTTTCCTCAACAACAACCAACAAGAAGAAGACAGTGGCAACACTCCCCTTCCTCCTCCAAGCAGCACGACCCCCTCCCGCAAACCATCCGCCTCCCTCTCCGAAATCGACCAACAACCACCCCGACTCGAACCCGAACAAATAATCCCCACCTTGCTAACCACTCCTCACACCGCCGGCCCTTTATTCGAAGACTCCCCCCCCTGCCGCAACCGCCTCCCCGGCGCGCTCCACCACGCCGATGACGGCCACATCGAGCGTCTAATCGCCAGACAGGGCGGGGCCGTCAACCTAGTAAGGCAAATCGCAGAGGACTTAGCAGCAAGGGACGCGCAAATCGCTCTGCTCCGTCGTCGGGCCGACGAGAGAGAGCGGGCTCTCAGAAAAATCATTCTCGAGTGTGGGCTCTCCAATCTTGATCTAGAGACCCGGTTGAGGGTGCTGCTTGAGGAAGGGAGGAGTCAGAGACGACAAGGAAGTGGCGAGGAGCTGGAGGATTTGATCGGGGACGCGCTGGAGGGGGATGTGAGGCTTGATGCGACGATAAAGGGGAGGGTGATCAAAGAGCGGGGTGCAAATACTGGACAGCAGCAGCAGCAGCAAAAGGGGACGGGGAGGGGGTGGAAGGAGTATTTGTGGGGTGGGACGGGTACTAGCAAGGGGGATGGGAAGGGGGAGACGACGGCGGTTAAAGGAGGGGCGAGGCAGTCGATGCCCGAGGATTGGTTTAAACCACCAGCGGAACAGCAGGAGGAGCAAGCACAACAAAGCTCCAGTAGGGCTTCAAGTGTGAGTTCTGCTCATGCGGCGAGGAAGCCTTCTCTGGCGAGCATGGCGTTGAGGCTTGTTGCTGGCGGCGCAGCGGGGAATAGGGATAACGAAGGCAGGGGCCGTGCTAGCAGCGCTGCTGCTGCGCAGGCGGGGGGTCCGCTCAGGGGATCGAGCGCTTCCAGTGCGAAGACTACGGCTTCTAACCGGGCCGTGTCGGCGCAGGCTGGCGGGCCAAAGGCGCTCATGCAAATGAGACGAACGACTGCCGGTGGGAGCACCAGACCGATGGATATCCCCGCCAGAGGACAAGTTCCCGAACGATGGGACACCATGGGGGCGAGCCCGGGAAAGGCTGCGATATTACGACATCAGAGCTATGGACCTGTCGAGATGGACACGATCCTCCCGCCCGAGGCTCAGCCGCCTACGCTGACGCACATCTACAATAACTTTGTCGGGTCGGAGTATCTGACCGATCGGTTTGGGTTTATTTACGACCAGAGACGGAAAAAGAGGCAGAGGGAGGCGGCGCAGATGGCGAAGCAGGGGAAGAGGGGGAGTAGGACGGAAATGTTGACTAATGGACGGGGAGGGATGAGTCCGGTGATGGCGGGAGATGATGACGGGGCGAGTAGTGGGAGGTGGGACGTGTTGAGCGAGAGCGGGAGGCCGGACACGCCGTGCTCGGGGACCACGACCGAGGAGCAAGTGAGAGGTGGAGGCGGGAACGAGGAGAACGCGAAGCCGAAGAGGTGGCAGGATTACCTCAAGATTGCGACGTTTCCGACTGAGTTGCTCTCGCACACGCCGCTGATCAGCGCGCAAGGGTTCGAGGTTTTGGAGGGAGGGGAGGTGCCACCACCAAAGTCGCCGGGGTATTCGCCGAGCATCATGTCGGAGGAGAGGGGGTTTTTGCCTAGTGCTACCACGACGACGGTGTCGATCGCGCCGATGATGGAGGAGCACCAGGAGCCGGTGGTTAGTTCGGTCTCGAGCTCCTCGGTGTCTGCCCCGGCAGGGGTTGAAGAAGAGGATGGGGGGACGCCTCCTGGATCGACGACCCCGGCGAAGGAGGATGCCGAGCCGGTGAGGTTGCTGTTGGAGAATCTGAACAGGCTGCATGATTCGCTTCAGAGGGAAAGGACAGTTCGCTGGAACGAGTTTCTTCGAAAGGTCCGCGCCGAGAGGAAGCGGGACGGCGAAGCTGCCGCCGCCGCCGCAGCAGCAGCAGCAGAAGCCAGATTCCAACGAGCCACGGCCGTCATGCCGGAAACTCGCCTCGGAGACGGGGAGCTCATCGGCGTCGCCAGCCTCGGCGTCCAAGGCAAAGTCGGCAGGGCAAAAGCAACCGAATTCCGCTCGCTCTTGCTGGGCGGCATCCCCGTGGCCATGAGAGCCAAGATCTGGTCAGAGTGCTCCGGCGCAAAAGCATTGCGCATACCGGGATACTACGAGGATTTGGTCAGCCGCCCCGGAGAGGAAGACGACCCCCAAGTCGTCGCTCAGATCAAAGCCGACATCACGCGCACCCTCACCGACAATATATTCTTCCGCAAGGGGCCCGGAGTGGGCAAGCTGCACGAGGTTCTGCTGGCCTACTCGCGCCGCAACCCGGACGTGGGGTACTGCCAGGGGATGAACCTCGTCGTTGCCAATCTTTTACTTATCACGCCCTCGTCGGAAGACGCGTTTTGGATCCTCGTCGCCACGGTCGAGCAGATCCTCCCGTCGGGGTACTTTGACCACTCGCTGCTTGCGTCGAGGGCAGACCAGGTCGTCCTCCGCCAGTATGTCTCTGAAGTGTTGCCGAAGCTGTCGGCGCACTTTGACGACCTGGGCATCGACCTCGAGACGATGACGTTTCAGTGGTTCCTCTCCATCTTTACCGACTGCCTGTCCGCAGAAGCGCTGTTCAGAGTCTGGGACGTGGTGCTTTGCACGCCGCACGACGGGGGCGCGTTTCTGTTCCAGGTGGCGCTCGCGCTGCTGAAGCTGAACGAGGGCCAGCTTTTGGGGTGCGGGAGCCCGGCGGGGGTGTACACGTACATTAACCATCAGATGACGAACCATGCTATTTCTATTGACGGCTTGGTGCAGGCGAGCGAGGGGTTGAGGAGGTTGGTGAAGAAGGAGGATATTGAAGCCAGGAGGGAGAGGGCGATTGAGCTGGAGAGGGAGCAGGTTCGGTTGAGGGAGGAGGGGTTGGCGGAGCGGAGGAGGGTTCAAAAGCAGGATAAGGTGAATGGCAAGGGGGGGAATAATAACAGGCCGAGGGCTCTGAAGAAGGAGAGCAGTCTTTTGGTTTTGGGGGGGAGTGGTGGTGGTGGTAGTAACAAGGCGGGTGCGGTACCCGCTGTGGTGAGTGGGGAGATGGCCAGTGGGGCTACGACGCCGAGCGGGATGGGAAGTTTGAGCAGGGTGGGCAGTGCTTGTCCTAGTCCCATGTTTGGACCTGAAAGGGGGGGACTGGGGAGTAGGAGTGTGAGTGGGAGTGATGGGTTGTTGAGTGTGGAGGGGTTGGTGGGGATATCGAGTGGTGGTGGTGGTGGGTGATGAGTTATGATACAACAGCATACAGCACAGCACAGCATAGCCGGGACGGCATTTCCTTTTGTTGAGGGTTATTTTTTTTTTGGCAGTGGGAAGATTGAAGAGTAGCATCATATCCGTTTTTTTTTTGGGGGGGGGGGGGAGTTTAGGGAAAGGAAAGAGAAGATTGGCTGCTGGAGGGACATGGGAGAGGGTGTGGAGGTGGCTTTTTTCTTTCTTGTTGTGGTTGATACCCCCTGGTGGCAATACTATGTGTGTTGTGTAAAGAGAGGAGATATAGACATACAGACAAGATATGAACGCTGAAGAGGAGAGCTATGGCTTCTGCGTGTTGAGTTGGATGTGCTGGTTTGCATCCGGTGTTTTGCTGTGATGATCTGACGTGATTTTACGAGTTCAGACGCACAACCGAGGAGAAGAAATGTTTATACAGGGAGCATGAAACTGTATGGAAGGAGCCATGAGTGAACGATATGGAAGGAGTGATGATGGATGGAGTGAGGAAGGTACGATTGGGGTATTCTTGAGACGGGAGGAAGGTGCTTCTACTGGTGAGGGAAGGTTCTATGGTGGGAGGGAAGGGGCCATGGTGGGGAGAGGGAAGGTGCGAGGCAGCATGAAGAAGGGTCTGATGCGACGAGGGCTTTCAGGTAAGTCCTTGGGAGCTTGCCGACATGTTTATGGGTCTGCTAGTTGTGAGTGAGATTGTGGGCCACGAGAGAGCTAAGGCACGGTGCTGATTGAGTTCTGGTGAGCATAGCTACAGCCCCCAAGCAGACTATCCAAGATGACTGCCTCATCCACGAAAACGATCATTCTCATTCATATATTGTAAATTGATCAGCTCATTCATCAAAGCCTCGCGATTCTCCTTGCTGGTTACGGAACATGGAAATAACTGCCGGCTCCAAGCCTCTCTGCATCGAGAGCCTCATGAAACCTAAGCACAAAAAAGCTCCACCTGTCAAAAAAGATAATCACCTCTTGGACTCACCTCTCAAGCAAGGGGCATACCGACACATCGCGGCTTGGAGCGGTCTTGGCCTGCCAGGGAGGGGTTGGACTTTTTTTGGCCCTTGTTCAGCGTTATCGGATCACCGACCGGGTTTAGCTACCGGGAAGGAAGCTGCCGCGGCAGGGTGGGTCAGGGACGAGGGCGAATGCACAATTCATTCATTCAGGCGTGGCGTCTTGATTTGTTTGGTGATCTCGAGAGGTCAAAGTCCTGGATGAGGATTTTGCCTCTGGAAGAGAGCTATTGATGGTGATTGCGAGGTTAGTACGTAATTGCCGTCATAGCTCCCTTCGGCGGGAACCGAGTTGAGCTTGGCTGGGCCATGGTTCTTCCTGATCTGGATGGCCTCTTGACATGACTTTGTCTGTTTCAGTCTTTGACGTTTGCGTTGATTATTGTCGAATTGGGGATCCATATTTCTGGAACACCAAGCATAAAGAATAATATGCTACACTGGGATTTATTGATGGTCAATGACGTTGGTGATCTTTTGGAGGGACGGGAATTGAGTTTCAACCCAGGGGGAGTGGCGCCAACGAGTCGGGCGATGCAGCTACTTGCGCTGAATCCCTCGTATGAAGCTGGGAAAAAGAAAAAAGAAAAACAAATAGCGTTTTCGCTGTTCGAGAACGTGGGTTGTTCTGAGGGAGGTGGTTGACTTACATGTGATCGAGAGACTGACAAGGGTCTGGAGGATCAGCGGGTCCTGGGCTAAACCGGAAGCGGGTTCCTGGTTACTTGGGGGGTCCTTTGGACTGGTTCTTTCCGATGCCACTGACATGGTTTGGTGATGCATACGATGCATGTCACTCTACAGGCGAAGTGAGGTTGCAGAAACATGCCACTTGTTGGTTTGCGCGGCTCGACGCCACACCAAGTTGCTTTGCAGACGGGCCTTCCGGAGTTTGTTGAGGCATCTCTCGGAGGTTGAGCTTGACTCGAACAAACTGCCTCGGTCAAGTTAATGGTTGTAAAGAAGACGTGGGCGATCGAAAGAGATCCCATGGCATGGTGTCGATAGGTTTGTGAGACGGACTCGAATTGGGCTGGCAACGGCTCGGTATCTGACATCGGACAACGCTTGCGCGACACAGGGGGACTGCCGCCGTCGGATGTGGGATCAGGGCGGTTACCTCAGCCTGAGGGATGTGTAACCAACCCAGGAAGCTGCAAGCTGGCTGCATCATCAATCAAGCTTATCAGAGAGGACAGAACCGCAGGAGGAAGATGATGTCTCTGATGCTCTTTGTCTACTAGCCATCTGCACACTAACCAAGCAATATCCCAATTGTCCCTGTCAATCTGAGACCAGTATGTCGGGAGATTTCCCCCAGGCTGTGGAAAAGCAACGGCCAAGGCTGTGTGTGTGTGTCCGTAGTGCTTTTTCACATGCCAGCGCAAAAAGCGTGGTGGGTGGATTGATGGTGGGGGTCTGTGAAAAAAGTGGGGTCGATAAGGGAGCTCCCTGTTGCGCAATTGGGGGGGGGTGTGCTATGCCTCGTCTTAGTGGTTAGTTCGACAGTCCCGTCACACGCTGGCGATAAAGATGAATTAGGAACTGGACCAACTTGGACCGCTTGGACGGCCGGGTCCATGAAAGAAAAAGTTTGGGTCCAAACGGTGAACTTGGTGCGCCCGCCTGTCACATGAAATACTACTTTCCTGGCATTCCATCACCGCATTCCTCCTTTTCCCACCACCATCTCTCGTCTTTTCTTCCTCGCCTTCCATCATTGTCATTGCCCCCGCCCAGGTATATATTTCAGGTAGATCCCTCTTCCATTCATCTTCCTCTTGCTTCACTCCTTGTCCATTCCACTCTTTCGTCAGTTCTAACATGCCGCACAAGGTCTACAAGATGCCTACCTCCAACGTAGTGAACGGCGACTCCTCTCACTCCGCTACCATCAGGGTATGTTATGATAACACCATCTCCTCTCCCAATCCTTCAACAAGCAGCTTACCCCCATGTTCAACAGCACCTTCTCACATACCCCTGCGTCCAAGATGGTGTGAGAACAGTCAAATCGACTTCCGTCGGCTCCAAGGCCGTTGACCTCAGCAATGGTGTCTATCAATCCCTCGCCCAGAACGTATTCCCCTACCTCGCCGGCCCTTACTCATTCGTCGCCCCCTACGTGGAACGAGTCGACAGCGTAGGCGACAAGACCCTCGAGGTCATCGAGGAGAAGTTCCCTGTCGTGAAGAAGCAGCCGGGCGAGATCGTCGAGGGAACCAAACAGATGATCTTCTCTCCTTATCACGCCGGCCGCTCCGTGAAGGAATACGTTCTCTCCATCTTTGAGACCAAGAAGCAAAGCTGCGGCGACTCCTGGACCGCCTACCCCACGGCCGTTGTCGCCACGACCTTCTACCTCATCGGTGAGACAGCCATCAACGCCGGGGATTACATCATCCACAAGAAGGAGGAGGAGGAAGGCAAGACGGGCGCTCAGAGGCCCGCTCAGAGACCCGCCAACGCCAACTAGGCCCGGCAAACTTAATCTTCAAGTGGCTGGCAGGTCGGGTGTACAACCATTGTACTACACTTAGTTCATGGCGACAAGCAGCGACTGATGATACCCGATACCCCAATTTCTTTCGTCTTCCTCTTAGTCATGTAAGGGGCGGCAGCAACAGCTTTATCCTTTTTTTTTCTCTACCCTGTTTTGACACGACAACAATTATCAAACTCGGCAAATCTGGATATGGATCTTTCATCTTCACGGCCTAATCGTCTTGTTCGAAACAATCACTCTTTTTGTTTTCATTTTCGTTTGTTCATACGGCATCGTTGACTATTTCTTTTTTTTTTTCTGTTGGGTTAGGTAGGGAGGGTGACGGAGAGAAAAGAAAACTGTTTGTTTGTGTCCTGTTTTGTTTACTACCAGGCAGAAATAGGGGGTTTTTTTTTTGGTCTGGATTTCAATTGTATATATATTTGGAAAGATAGATGGGATGAAATAGATGGTTATGAAAACGGTTCATTACATTTTGATATTGTTCGCGTCGGTATGCATGAAGCGTGGGTGTGAGACTTGAGTTGAGATGTCGACAGAAGGAGAAAACGGTCCGGAGGTGGCGGGCGGGAGGCTGGATGAGGTGTCTAAGATGTCTCAGATTGTGCAGCCGCAATGCAAGGGGTCTTGAAGAGGTGGGTGGGTAGTGAGTGAGTTTTTGGTTCCTGCATATCGCTTGAATCATGGCGGATGATGCCTTTTTTGCCTCATGTTTTGTTGTGATTGCGGAATTGGTTTGGAATGCATGTGAAGCGGATCTTTGAGAATAGGTCTTGCTTGCCCAAGAACAACACAGCAACCAAGAGTATTTAGCATTTAAGAGCTCTCCTATCGTGTCCGGAGACAGTCGACGACCGGGCCCATCCATGTGGTACACAGTGTCACGGGCAAATCTTTTGGATGTCCTATCAAGGTCAAGACCCTCACATAGGCTTTCATGGAGCCCTCAAGATAACTTACCTCTTCCACAGGCGAGTATCCAGATGATGCTGTCAAAGCCAGGAGGATGTGGGAGCACTGCATGATCACAACCGGACCGCCAAAACTCGTACATGTTTTAAATTCACTATTCTCACCATCCGAGGTACATCTGAGCAAGCTCTATCCCTCCCTCATGTTCATCTTAAATCGCATACAATAATCTCATTACACTAGCTCTGCACCCTTCGCCAATGCTACAACCCCAATATCACAAAACCCCAACCCTCACGTCGTTTTCCATCGCCCCGCCAACTAACTCCACATTCATTATTTACTTTACCCCTTACATGAGATGAGCCCCATCATCCCCATCACCACCACGGCGCACGGAATGTCCTGGAAGCATTCGTTCCAAAAAAAAAAAAAAAAAAAAAAACCAAGGTACAAGTCCAAGCATCCATGTCATCGACGCTGATGTCCTCGACCTGGAGAGACATATTGCCGTTGGGGATCCGGTTCACAAAAAGCAACCGCTCTGTGTGGTCTTGGCGAGATTGGCGAAAAAACGATCCCAGGCCGTTCAGCATCACAACACTGGTAGGTAGATCTGGCTCCCTGGACAAGAGGTAACATGACTTCTCTCCATTGACCCCCGGTTTGGCCGCTCTTGGCGGCAGACCAGGGCATCTCCATCTTTTTGTGCTGCTCGTCGGGGGGCAGAAGTCAAGCGTGCGGCGGCGGGTGTTCGAGGTCAATGCCCTCGGGAGGGGGAAAACCTTGATCGTGCGTCCCGAGGCTTCCTTCCCACGACGGTGCCTCATGCCAATCCGTGGTCATCTTCCTGCATCTGAAGCAGGTCTGACCATGACGAATGAGGGGTTCCCACTGGGTCGGTCATGGCGCACTTTTGTTGGTGTGAAGGGGTGAGTGGGTAGGTGGTTGTTTAATTGACCAGACGGACGGCACACGAGGGAGGGTGGAGGTAGGGAGAGGAGGGAGCGCGCCGTGCAACGATAGCCGACTATTTTGTCCTGGAGTATAGTCAGTAACGTGTTGAAGTGAAGGGGAGGAACTTAGAGGTCACATACCACAGGTACAGGTTCCTGTTGTAGAACTTGTGAATGCGGACGGAAACCAGGTGGGCGCAGGCTGTTGTCGGCGTGTAGGAGGATCCATACCGATTAGCATTGCCGAGAGGGTTGAACTCGTCGTAGAATTTGAGACGGTCGTGGCGATGATGGTGCGCTCCAGGGTCAACGACAGGAGGGGAGCTCCTCACAGCCTAGGTGTGGGTAGGAGGCTGGGATTAGTTTGGCGAAAGGTAAGGTTGCTAGATCAGGTATGTGAAAGGGAAATGTAGGGCGGTGGCCTAGTGAAGTCACTGCCCGCGAAAGAGAGGCCAAAAAGGCAGGTAAATTAGTTGACAAATTGATATTACAGTTGGTTGTTGTTAGTTGTTCGGAGTAAAAGTAAACAGTAAGCAAACCCAGCCTTAAGAGCAAGTCAGGTGTGGGTCTGGTGAAAAGCAGGCCCTTTGTAGGTGCCCCACAAGAAAAGTCGTATATACAACATGTGAGAGGGTGGCTATGGTGCCAGATGATGAAAGGAGAAGGAGAATTGGGTTGGATGACACCCGCCTTGGCTACAACACGCCCATCGCGCCCCAGAGATTCACACATGTCCGGAGGCAGCTGGTTGGTGAACTTGGTGGACAGCTATGAAGGCTGTCTGCTGATTCATTATCGATGTTGAGCTGTGTGAACCGTCTTGGGACGCCCTGAATTCCAATGTATCTGGTGATGACCTCGGAAGCCTGTCCAAACTTTGTGTTGGGCAGTGGTTGTTGGTTCGTAGCGGTCCCACCGGCTTCTCCGCTACCTACTTTCTCTGGTGTAAAATCAGGTGTGAATGTGTGAAGGTAAGTCTCTAAGGTAGGTAAGCAGATAACTGTGGACATGTGAGTAGAGAAAATATATATGAGTTCTAAACGTGTAGCAGAAGCTGATCAAACGAGTAAAAACAGGAAAGGAGTGCTCAAGACCCAACAATCAAGGGAAACTTTTGACTTCCATAGGTAAGCTATTGTGGCAACCATCTAATCATCCATCTCCCAACTGCGATGCTCCTGACTCCAAGCCAAAATAGATATCCTCTCCTCAAGTTGTGCTTTGCTTGGGAAGAATCTGGCAGTTAACAATCCCAGATTGACACTTTCCATTGGAATTGGCGGTGTCATCCTTAGGAAAGGTATAAACCCTCCCCTGGCAAGCCTTGAACCACTCATGAGCGTACTTGATCTGCCCGTCTTCCAGATCCTGGTGTGGGTTCCTGCAAGCTCCGTGTGCGTTCTTGTCCGGGCAAGCAATAGATTGTGACCAAAGCTTGGGGTTGTCACAACCAGACAAGAACTGGCCATCGGCGGCAGCAGCTCTGGTGACATTGCGGGCTTGGGTGACCTTGGTCTCGAAGGTGGTTTGGGAAGCAGGGAGGGAGGAGGCAAAGATGGAGGTCAGGGCCGAAGCAACGATGAGAGGTGAGGCGAGGAATTTCATCTTGGGGGTGATGGTGGATCGGGGTATACACCTAAATAGGGAGGGATGCCTTTGCTGATAGAGTGGAGGAGTGAAAGACCGGTTGTCAGAGGTCTTTGTTGCTGGATGTTCGTGAGAGAAAGAGAATGGGTAGTGGCAATGAAGCACTCATTGTATAGATCTTTGACCGGGGAGCAAATCTTGATACGGGACTTATGATTCGCTACGGTGTTGCCGGATGGGGCAGAGGTCTTGTTGAACTATTCACTCGTGACAGTGAGCCACTTACCTCCTTACTCCAGTGAGGACTGTCATGCCCACAATCCAGAGCTTGCTTGAGCAGTCAAGAGTCTGTATGATCATGTTCTAGCGAGCTTCTTGCTCTTGTATAATCTAAATGACAGACTTATCGTCATGCTGAACAACTCTCCTACCCCACGAGGGCTGGTGACTGGTTGGGGGGTGTGAAGATGATAAGAGTCAATCTATGCTGACTGCTCCTTGCTCACCGAAGGGGCCGTATCATTGTCATGGACAACAAACATGCTATGGCTATCCTCAACACTTGGATGAACCCCATGCCTTGCGAAGGCTTGCTTGCCCCTATTCCAAACATTGTGCTAGCGGAGTCCCGATATGGACCTCTGTTGCTCTTCTTGGCAGTTAATATTGGTTTGCTCAATACCCTGACGTGAAGTAAGTGCTCTTTGGGAGTCAACAAGATGTGTTGCTCACTACTGTCACAGAGCCTATGCGGGTTGTCAAGCTTCGCATGGGAACAAACACACCCTTCACTGTGTGACGTTTTGACCGCTCCTCAACATGATGAGCGTCGTCTGGTTGTTTTTAAACCGCGCGCGGAAGAGAATTCTCTGACCCTGCTCTTCACCTCAACCAGCCCACTTTGCTGCTGCTCTTATCTCCACTGAGAACGTCTCTATGGAGAGGTTCATAGTTTTGTCTGAAGTATTCTGCGATCTCCCCCCTGATATCAACACACTCTGATCTCTAAAAATGCTGGCTCCCTTACGATAAGACCGTGTAACTGCTCCTATTATCTCCACTTGAATCCAATATCAAATGAATCTGATGAGAACTGCTCACTGCGCCCAAGCGTTCCAGCCCCGATCCTTAAGTATACAATGACTTTTTACTACTCCCCTGAATCCTCTTTCTCTTCCCATCAGCGAGCAGCAAAGACACCCCAGAGAACCTGTTCTCCATCCTTGTCGGCAACAGCCTTTGCCATCAGTTCACAACACCCTCTACACCTTCGCCAAAGCCTGTTCACCACGCCCTACAGTACCTTACCTGGCACAGTGATGTCCTTCACGCTCTCTACCCTCCTGGCTTCGGCCGTTCTCCTTTTCACGGCTGCTCTCGCCGTGGATATTCCCTACGTCGCCTCGGACGGCTTCAACTTTTCCTACCACGACTACCACAAGTACCATGACTGGCCCCAAGGTCTCAGGCATCCAGGGCAAGGAAGATGCCACCAACCCTTTCTTTCCTATGCCC